CTAATATATATATATATATATATATATATATATATATATATATATATATATTATAAAAATTTACACCAAACATTTAAACCATATATATATATATAAAATGGTTTAAATTTTTGGTGTACATTTTTTTTTTATTAATGATGAAATTCATACTTTTATTCAGGAAGGATGCATTAAATTGTTAATATGTGACAAAGACATTAATAATGTTAAAACTTACAAAGGTTTCTAATTCAAAAAATGCTGTTCTTTTAAACTTTGTATTTATCAAAGAATCCTGACTAAAAGTATCACTGTTTCTACAAAAATATTTAAGCAGCATAACTGTTTCAATATTGATATTTTTAATAATATGAAGACTGGAGTAATGCTGCTGAAAATTCAGCTTTGCAACACAGGAGTAAATTACATTTTAAAATGCACTGTATTTTTAAACAAATAAATGGAGCATTGGTGAGCAGAAGAAAATGGTGTATATTATACAGTATTTTGAAGGAATAGTTGTTTTTTTGTTAAAGCAGATGGTAGGCAGAATGTTTGTACTTCTGTTTTCCAAACAATCACTGTGATTTATGGTATGAGATGCAATAACAACAAAAAACATTGCATTAAAAAAAATCAAAAAGTTTCAAAGGTTCCATGGCATATTTGACCATTAATGCCGTATCCCATATTGATAAACTTGTTGCATATTTGCATTAGTTCTCATGTGTCATGTGACCAAATTTGTGACATGTCAAGTTTGAAAAACTCAACCACTAAATTTGAGCGCTACAACAAGGAAAGAAGTAGACAACGGCTTCAATTTCATCTCTTCCTCAAACAAAGCTGCTGTATGCCTGCAGATGCTTTCTGAAATAGCACGCAAGTCATATGCTTTATTATCCTATCTGTAGCTTGGTGGTATACTTTACATCACAATTCATTTTCCTCGTACGGAAAACAGAACTTCTGATATTCTGCCGAACCTGTTCTTGTATGTATGGAATAGATAGATGAAGTTTTCCTACTAGTCTAATCTTAATAATACGCATGTAACATAATTAGCTATAACTAATAAATCAGAAGTATACATCTTTATCTTTACTTAAACTTATATTGTTTTTTTCATCCTGCAGACAACTCTTGGGCATTGCTTCCAGAAGAACAATACCATTCAGGTTATTGATGATTGTGACGTCCCGGAAGCGTCCTTTATTCAGGAACTTGTGTTCTTTTTCTCCCCTAAAAGCAACCGCACAATGGTAAATGAATGGTCATAGTAATGAGTTCTAGTGTGTTTAGTGTAAAAATGTTATTGGAAGTTCTCATGCCCTGTTTTTCTACAGTTCTGTGGTCATGACGATATGACCTGTAGGATGGTGGAGTGTCGCTTCGGGGACTTGGAGGTTGGAAAAGAAGTTACAATCAATATGGAGGTGGAGCTCAACCCCAGGGTTCTCCAGATGAGTCCAGTGAGTGTTGGTTAGAGACATGGAGATGGACCACTTGTAGTTTGGGATCCGAAAGAAATTATTGCTTTTATTCAGCAAGGATGCATTAAATTGATCAAAAGTGACAATAAAGACATTTTATAATTTTATAAAAGATTTATATTTATGCATAGTTTCCATATAAATATTAAGCAGCACAGTTTTTCAAACTTACAATTGAGATGCCCACCATGTTATCCAGCTAGATGTCATAAGCTTGTCTTGGTTGTTCCTCAAAGACTACCGGATGCAGTAATTTACAACGGCAAACATTGTTTGACAGATGGATTACCTGAACTGTTTGCCCGAAAGAGCAACTAAAACACATGACCTTAATGCATGTTTATTTCCAATAGGGCAGACATTCTGTCATGATGGTACAAGGCATGATTGACTTTATTTCATCAGTAAAGGATGCAAACACCATCCTACTAAAGAATGACATTTCTGCTAAAGTAAGTAGTCTAAACCTCTAAAACCAGTCGTGCATAATGAGATGCTGCATTTACAACCTTTTGTTGCTTGTTATTAACTTAAACATTTGCAATGTTACAGGTATTACTGGAGGCTCTGTACAGCCTTAAGCCTGTGGCGGCAGTGGAAATATTTCTAATAGTATCCAGTCTGATTGTTGGGCTGATCATTTTAGCACTGCTTGTCATCACCCTCTGGAAGGTATGTGTCATAATGACGTATGTTCAACTCGTGCAAGACTCTTCATCTTACAGCATAGAAATCACTGTCAGTACAGTAAAACTATTGAAGAAGTGGAGATACTATTAAACATGCAGTGTTTTGGCCACTAGGGGTCGCTAATCTCTTACAATAACAAAGGCGTATATTGATGACGCAAAGCATCAAGCAGAATTATGGATGTTGTCATCAAGCTGATGGACCTTTTATGGATGAGTGGATATAGTGATGTTTTTAACTTGACTATGGTATGAAACAGGGCGCGATTGCTAATGAAAGACGAATAGCGTTACCAACGTGAGTCCTGTAGATATAAAGGAATAAGGACATTCCATTCTACCGAACTACACGCAAGTGCTGAATTAACATTAATAAGTTACTCACCGGTAGGGTTGGGTATCGAGAATCGAGTATCGATTGGAACCGGGACTAACTTTTCGTTTTTCCCGGAATCGTTCAAAAGTTAAAATTTCAATTCCTAGTTTCGATATTCACAGTCCGCCGAGCGGAAGAAGAAACCGCTGAACAACACCAACGAAGAAGCGTCTACCGGAAGTGTTGGCATAACCGCGCGAGTCGAACATGAGTAGCTTACGTCGGCGGTCCAAAGTGTGGCTTCACTTTTCTAAAAATTAACGAAATCTCGGCAAAATGCAAAATTTGTGACAAGTATTTGTGACAGAAGGAGTATTTCCTTCAGAAAGGCCGTTGGTTAGCAAGGTTAGCTAAACTTTTTTGACCCTGCCTCTTAAAAGAATCGAAATCGAGAATCGTTAGGAACCGGAATCGAAACAAGGAATCGGAATCGGAATCGTTCAAATTCAAACGATACCCAACCCTACTCACCGGTCAGTTTATTGGATGAATTAAACTCGAAACGGCATTTGAGTGTGTTGAATGTTGCTAGTTTGGTTGTTTGTTGGCTGTATGAGACCAGCAATAAGATAGATCAACATTCGAATAACACAGATCATTTCATCATATTGAACTATATAGCATTGATTAGTTTTATGTACATTTGCTCACCTGTCTAATGAAGTAACATGCAACACTCGCGTCTCCGTCAAGTCAAAGTTAGTCGTGGACGTGGAGAAAATCTCGACAGATTTTGATCTTTGTTCTAGTCCTCTTTTTGTCTCAAAGTCTGCTTGCCATGGTCCATAATGTTTGAACAAAACAACAACAGTGTGAGTGTCCTGTTAAGCATAAACCAGTTGTCCATGTCTGTCGCCATGGTTACTATGGCAATATGAGCGGAAACCGATGGTAACGCGAATATGACACCATTGCCTGGCAACTGCCGACACGTCCCGTTTCCTTGGTTAAAATCGCAATTTTCTCACGATTTACAAATAATTGGAAATATTGGGGATATTGTAAGAAATCAACTAAACAAAATATATAACATTGGCCTAGCGGTTTTTGGATAGTTTACTTAAAAAATCCTACATATTGTACCTTTAAAGCAGTGCTTTCATAACAAATCCACTGCCTTCAGTGATAAACTTTCTAAAGAATAATTGTAAATATCAAGTTTAAATTATAAATATCAAGTTTAACTTTTAAAAACACATTGTTCTCTCAATTCCGCCATGCTCCATCCAAGATTGGAGTTAAGAAACCTGATAGACCTGAACCAGCCTTCAGTAGTCATTCAGACAACCTACCAAGTAATAGATTTATCCCTACAAAGCAAATATTCAAAAAGAAGAAAAATCCTCAAAACAAGGCTTGTTGAGTTTGAAATTGAGATGTGCTTTTGCTTATTGACAATAATACACCCTCTTCCTTTCATTAGCTTGGATTCTTTGAGCGGAAGTTCAAGGAGGAGAATTTTAGACGGGACAGTTGGGACTATGTACCGAAGAAAGAGAGCACGTCATAATATGGGATTTGCACCGCATACAAAACCAGTCAGAATGGAGGGACAATCCATGAAGACACCAAGAGCTGGACTCATGAGAACCTACGGCCCTTGACCGTAATGGCTGAAAACATTCATCACAAAGCCATGAAGACTGTTGAAAGAGACTGTCGCTAAGAATCTGCATTTTCTGTCGGCAGGATGAAGCCAATGCACTTTAGAGAATGGAACGTACTAATGTGCTAACGGACACGCTCCGGCGCTGTCGTGCCAAGGGAGAAAAGGACTTCAGAATGTACTGTCGCTATAGAATGTTATGGCTCTGTTCCAAAACCTAGTGAGCAACCTATGTAGGTGGCATTTTTTGACGTGTGAAGGTTGTTCCAAAAGGTATGAAGCACAAAGACACGTCCTTCTGGCCAAATTCTAAGGCAGTGTGACATGCATTGTGAAAGTGAGAGAGTGTTAATTATGAATATAATTTATTCCACACCAAACAGTAGAAAAAAAAATCAATCAAATTAAAATATCTAATAATATATGTACACTACTTTTTTATGTTAATGCTTTTTTTGTTTTAATTAAAAAATGTAAAAAATAATAATAATATTTTTTTTTAAAGTCTCTTATGCTCCGTTAGTGCTGCATTTATTTGATCAAACAACAGTAATGTGAATATTATTACAATTTAAAATGACAATTTATCAAATGTAATTTATTCCAGTGATGTGCTCAGCTTCATTACTGCAGTCTTCAGTGTCACATGATCCTTCAGAAATCATTCCAGCATTCAAGATTTGCTCTAGAAACATTTATTATTATTATAATGTTGAAAAGAGTTGAGCTGCTTAATATTTTTGGGGAAGCCATAATTGTTTTTTCAGGATTTTTTTTTTTTTGCTGAATAGAAAGTTTGAAAGATCAACATTTAACTGAAAATCATATATATATGATGTTTTTTTTCCCATCATATATATATATATATATATATATATAATCATGATTAATCGATTTGACGGCAGCCTGCTAACATTAAAATCCAATTGAGATCAATCGTGAGCCGAGACTCAACTATCGGGTTCTAATTGAGTTTTGGTGCCGTCTTAAAAAACAGCTGCCTATGTAGGCTGCATGGACGGCAAGGCAGCTCGCTAGGTTTTGGAACAGAGCCTGATTGTTTCATCACAGGTTTGCCTACGATCACTGAACATATTGGCTGTTGGGCTGCTGTAAAGAAGAAATTGCACTGCCGTAGCTTTTCTTGCTAAGGTTACACTTACTGGCTTTTTTACACCCGCAAGTTAGTACACCCTCCTCAGAGGTGACAGGATCTTTCCGTCACCCTTGCCGATACAGAACATTGCTGTGGAAGGGTTTTCACACCTTGACATCACTGTGGTGTCGTTCTCCTTAAAAAAAAAAAAAGTAGGAAATGACACGCATTCTCCTCCCAAACTCTCACTGCTGAGTTCAGTGGTAAGAAGTTTGAACGGAGACGCCAGATGGATGAAGCGAGTGTTTTCCGCTGCTCTGGCTGGGTGCCATGGAAACGGAGCAAAGGAGGCTGCTGTTGTGTGTGTACTGCGCTAAAGAAGAGTGACGAGATTGGCATGTGTCTGGCTTCCAGCCATTCCTTAAGAGTGCGTGTATTCAATTTATATGACGCAAATACACACAGCACCATCAGCACGTGCCCGTCATTCATAGATCCACTCATCCCCCTTTTGTCTGTTCAAGTTGGAAATAGTTTAGCTAAGGGTGTTAATGAAAATGTTTACGAAAATAGCATCGAACAAGAATTAATTCAATAATTGGGTAAACAATGGGAGTTTGCAGAACACAAATTCACAAAGAAAATTAGTTTTTTCTTTGTATACAATCAAAGTGGGATGGTCTGATTTAATTTATTTACAAAACCTGATTATCATGCCAAATATGTCATCATATGCTGAATGATTTTTGATGCTGTGTTATAAGAAACAAAGATGGTGTTGATTATTTGTATAAATAAAAAAGTTTTATAAAAAAAATTAATTCAATTTAATAAAAATAGTGACATTTTCAAATCTATTTCCCCCCAAAATACGTGCATAAAATGTGAGAAAGTCGGCTGATTGTATGAACGAGATCTAAAAGGATCGAGACCAAACAGTCCCGTCAGAATCAAAGCTAAAAATGTGGGACATAATCTTTAGATTTGCGAAGCCATATCAAATCAGTTCCTCGCCATAAAAAAAAACAAAAAAAACGCTACTGTTCAGGGACTAGCACATTGCTTTCATATCAGTATTTTTAACAGGTTCATGTTTTTTATTTGTTTTTGTTTTGTTTTTTCTCCTGTCTTTAAAAAAAAATTGTTGAAAAATTGACTTTGGTTTAATTTAAAATCGTATGCACTGGAATGTACTGTGTGTCATTTTGTTTTTGCTCTGACATAAAATGTTCTATATATACATGTTAAAGCTTTGCTTTGTACAATTTGTTCATTAATGCTATCAAGCACAATCTCTCTTTGTGTGTGTGTGTGTGTGGTTGTGTGTTCAGATACAGCTGCATTTAACTGGCGACTCCTCCGCCTCCTCCACGTCGGCTCCGAAGAGTGTGAGGAGCTGCGGGTGAACCCTGGAAAATAAACAGGGCTGTCACTACATTTAAACATTACAAGGATTTATCTGAAATATGCACACATCCCTCCCTTTTTCCTTCTAACCTCACGCTGTTCTGTTTATTCTTCTGACACTCTTTCTGCAGCTTTAAGAAGATGAATTAGGAATTTTCTTATCAAGTGCTGCTCATATAATGTTTGTAGTGCCTTAAAACAACACAGCCTGCGCTTACACAGGTCATGTGAAGTTCAACCTGTGAAAGTATACAGTGGCTATCTTGACTACTGTTTTGCAAACAAATAGGAATTTGACTTGTTCACTTATAAAATGGAAAGTTCTGACTTATATGATATTATGACATGTGCAACCTAAAAAACAACGACACTCAAAGTTTGTCTGGATGATTGACTCGAGTGTCTCACCTGATCAGGAGTTCAGATGTGACCTCTAAGAGATCTCCGTCAATGTTCCAGGGGTACGTTCCTTCGGAGGAGATGATGGGCACTGTTTTTGAATCGCTCTCCTCGTTCTCCTCCAAGACGTCTTCAGCCCAGCCTCCCTGAGAGCGTGGACGCAGCCTCACTGCCTTTACGGTGTGTGTCTCGATAAAAGAGAAACCAAACTGCAGAAGGAAACAGAAGCGTTATAGAAGTCGTCCATATCAGAACTCTTCTGTCTGAGTTTTTATTGTGTGTTTTGTAGTGTGCGTCTGTTTGCACTGTTCATTTGAATCTGACTTATTTGAGGCTGTAGTTTAATGTAGGTCCACAAGGAGGCAGTGATGAACAACTGATCCTCATCAGCACCTTCAGTGTGTGTGACCTGGAGTGAACTTGGATATACAGAACCTGGACTGGGCTTTCAACACATATTGTAAATCCTTCTGTCAAATTGTTGCTTAGAAGTCATTAACTGCAGAGATCTTGTGTAAGTACCATTTACTTCTTTTAAAAACTATTGGAGTAATAATGGCTCTGACCCAGTAGTCTTTGTTCATCAACTGCATGATAATTTTTTTTTTCTGTTCTGTCTGTTGCTTACATTTTTAAGTAGAATCGACTTGGATGTTTAAGCCATATTGCATTAAATACATTGAAATTTGTATAACTTATAAAAAAAAGTTGAAAATTGCTTAAATTGGTTGAGTTAAAGCAATGCAAAAACATATGTTGCCTTATCATTATTGATCATATATGATACAAATTGATTTGACAGTAAATCTCACAAAAACATGACCAGGTCACTTTCACCCGTTTAAAATAATGAAATTAATTTCTGTATAAAAGTTGAGACTGTAGTTCGAACCAGTATTTATTTAAATGACATTTAAACAAAATCTTTCCTAAATTCTGATTATTGTAATCCATAAAGATGTTTACAGTCATTTTTGAATAACTCATTATTATCAATGAGTTTCATCAGATTCTCATTACTTTACTACAGTACTTTTTACTGTATTCCATTTTTTATTTAAATCTGCATAAAAAATAAATTAAAAGTCAGCACTACCATAATGTAATATAAATACCAAATGCTAAAATTGATATTTCCCATATATGTTATATGTATGCGGTTGTTTTTGTTATGTTTTTGCACATATTTAAGCACATTTTCTCAACATTTCCCAAATTCTCAACACTGTAATGTAGTAAACATTTTTTTTTACATTAAAATTTTTCCCCTTTTTGAGATGAATACCCATTTTACACAACTCATGTTCTCATGTAATATATTTGCATTTTATTTCAGTGTAACTCGAAATAATACTATATTTATATTTCACATTGTTTTTTAGTCTTAATGGGTTAGAAATAGCCCATTTTCTTAATGAAAAGTGTAATTTCTTCCATCTTTCTTTGATGTTGAGGCCAAACATGACCCAGACCTTTTTTCTCTTTGTGAGATTCAACCACTGTTAAAATGCACTTGACTTTCTACATTGCTTTCCTCATGTAAATGAAGTGAACACACACACAAGCTCTTTTAAAATGGACAATAAAGGCCTAATAGTACAGCACAGAGACCCTGAAATTGACACAGCTTTGCTCTACGGCACAATGACAGGAGAGTGAAGTATCGCAGTAGGTCAGCGCCGCAACATACACAGATTATTTATAGAATGTGGGTTAACAAACATCTCTAGATTGGATTGCTTAAGAAAAAAGAGGAGACAGGCTCTGAAATGGGCTAATCTGTATTAGCCTGAAAAGTGTTTTGTGGGAAGCTGACAATCAGTGACTAATTTGACTTGACAGTATGCTAATTCTGCTTAAGCTGTGGAGGTTGTTAACTCTATTTGCGTGGGCTGGATTTCCTGTGTTATCAGGCTGATGTGAGTTAAGAAAGTTCTCTGGCTTCGCACAGGTGACCTCACCTGGTTATTTGTGCTGCCGTATCTCTTCAAGTGCTTGATGAATTCTGACCTGGATGTGTTGTCAACAACTATTAGCGCCATACTGCCATTGTTCAGCCTGTGGTAGACAGAAAATGTTCACATTTATTGTGCTTAGCTGTAACATTTGTTAATGCAAACAGTTACTTATGTGCCATAAGCCCATACTTTTCATAAAAGAGGTAATATAAACCAGTTTTTATTTTGTTTTACCACAGGTCTATACATATATGCGAAGCACACTTGGACTGTCCCATATCTACACATCAGTGGACAATGTAAATGGGAGCTTCAAGGTAAGAAATAGGTCCAAGAATTAGAGTTCCACTAAATTCGAAAACTGCCATCCTCGATATTTAACAACTGAGAGTGAGTAAACGATGACAAAATTCTCATTTTTGGATGAACTATCCCTTTAATTCAAAATATATTCTATCAGAAATACAGAATAGCAATGCAACCAAACTAAATCGGTCCCACCATGTTCAAATTATCTATATTCCAAGCACCTGAAAGCTTTGTTACTGTTAAGGGGATTGTTCACCCAAAAAACGCTCTGTCATTAATTACTTCTAGCGAATGTATCATGTTTAAAATACCTAGATAGATAGATATTTTAAGAGCAGAAACGAACGAATGATTTCTTTCGATGCGAACCCTGTGACCCTCACTAAAGATGGTGCTTACGAGAAGCTGAGCTTAACTTGTGTCGCTCTCTAAATACAGGAAGGAGAGGGGGTTGTTGAGGCCCGTGGACAGATGCTCAGGCCTTAAGTCTAACCAGCCACTCCCTTTAATCAGAGTAATTATGTGCTGATTAGTCCAGTTAGGTGGCTTTGACCTTAGGAGTCTGATCCAAACACTGATTCCAATCTTCAGGATTACATTGGCCTAGTCTACCCGGCTTCACACACGAAACGCCCACGACATGAGCCAGAAAACAAGTCTGAAGACTCAGTTGGCCTTGCATGTTGCTGGCACACTGACCTGGTCTCAAGGTTTTACAGTCCACACAGACATCAGCTACTGAGCCCATCTTACTTGCTCTTTGGGCATTTTCTGAAGGATTGAGGGCAGTGCTTAGTGTGTACATTTATAAGGACTCAGAACAAGATTTGGTGACAGATTTTGGAGATGTGTTTAACAGAATCGCCACTGTGAGAATCATGACAAGAACTAACATCACTCCTACTGTATTAGTGAAATAGCTCACCCAAAAATGAAAACTCTTGTATGAATTAATCACCCTCACGTTGTTCCAAACCCGTAAGACTTTCATTCATCTTCGGAACACAAATTAAGATATTTTTTGATGAAATCTGAGAGCTTACTGTTCCTCCATTGAAACTTTGATGCTTCAAAAAGTTCATAAAGAGATCGTAAAACTAATCCATATGAATAGAGCGGTTTAGTCCACATTTTCTCATTGGTTCTTACAGAAGCTCAAACGTGCTGCGTAACACGAGAATGAACCTCATTGGTTGTTACAGAAGCTCAAATGTGCTGCGTAATACGAGAATGAACCTCATTGGTTCTTACAGAAGCTCAAACGTGCTGCGTAACACGAGAATGAACCTCATTGGTTGTTACAGAAGCTCAAACGTGCTGTACAACACGAGAATGAACCTCATTGGTCGTTACAGAAGCTCAAACGTGCTGCGTAACACGAGAATGAACCTCATTGGTTGTTACCGAAGCTCAAATGTGCTGTGTAACATGAGAATGAACCTCATTGGTTGTTACAGAAGCTCAAACGTGCTGCGTAACACGAGAATGAACCTCATTGGTTGTTACCGAAGCTCAAATGTGCTGCGTAACACGAGAATGAACCTCATTGGTTGTTACCGAAGCTCAAATGTGCTGCGTAACATGAGAATGAACCTCATTGGTTGTTACAGAAGCTCAAATGTGCTGCGTAACACGAGAATGAACCTCATTGGTTGTTACCGAAGCTCAAATGTGCTGCGTAACACGAGAATGAACCTCATTGGTTGTTACCGAAGCTCAAATGTGCTGCGTAACATGAGAATGAACCTCATTGGTTGTTACAGAAGCTCAAATGTGCTGCGTAACACGAGAATGAACCTCATTGGTTGTTACCGAAGCTCAAATGTGCTGTGTAACATGAGAATGAACCTCATTGGTTGTTACCGAAGCTCAAATGTGCTGTGTAACATGAGAATGAACCTCATTGGTTGTTACAGAAGCTCAATTCGTGCTGCATAACGCGAGAATGATCCTCATTGGTTGTTACAGAAGCTCAAATGTGCTGTGTAACACGAGAATGAACCTCATTGGTTGTTACAGAAGCTTAAACGTGCTGCATAACGCGAGAATGATCCTCATTGGTTGTTACAGAAGCTCAAACGTGCTGCATAACGCGAGAATGATCCTCATTGGTTCTTATAGAAGCTCAAACGTGCTGTGTAACATGAGAATGAACCTCATTCAAGCCATGCCAATATTCATGTTATTTATCATATATCGTTATGAAGGAAAATGTGTTGCATATTGGAAGGATGTTGTCAGTTTGCTAATGAGCAGATTGAGGTGGAGTGGAAGAGTGTCTGACCTGGTGTTTGGAGCCAGGCCCCTGGGGGCCATTGAACACAGGCAGGGAATAGCCATGATGCTGATATTCAGGTACAGGCCATGTCTGGTCTGCCAGGAGTCACCCTCACCTATTAAACAGAGTTTTTCCATGTGTAAATATTCATACTGTTGGTGTACTTGAATGTTTTTAATGTGAAAGCAGATCATAGAATAGGAGCTGGTCCTTGAGCAGTGACCTGGATGTTTTTTCTCAAAGGTCAAGTATGATGGCGCTTACTTTTTTGACTATAACGTTACATTATATTATATGATATGCCTATTGTGTTTAATGATGATTCCTTTTGGACTATTATGCCTATATATATATTTTAATAGAGACTTACACACTTTTTGTCTACTACAATACAACACTTTATAATTGGTTCCATTTGTTAACTACATTAACATCAACTAACAATGAAAAATACTTCTAAACCATTTATTCATCTTGGTTAATGTCCTTTTCAACATTAAATAATACATTATTAAAACCAAAAATTATATCTGTTTATATTATGTAATGGACCTGAGATAACATGAACTAAGCTTTAAACAATGTACACTTGTAAATAATATTAACAAAGAAGTATAAATACTGTAGAAAATGTATACAATATATTATATTATAAAAATGTCACAATATATTATATTATATGTCTATTTTTTTTTTCAGTGCAGTGCATTGTCATCCAGACCACTGCTGAACATTGGTACATGTAACTTTTCTCAGCGCAGATGGAGATGGACCATATGAACCAATCAAAGTCATTTGTGATAACAGGAATTAAAAAAAACTATATATTTTTCAGATTTGTAGTGTAGCTTGTTTTCGTCATGGAAAAAAAAAAATTAAAAGATATTTGCGACTTTGTACCTCACACTTATGACTTTTTTCTCTCTACTAGCGAGTTTACATCTGCAATTCTGACTTTTCTCAGAATTATGAGATATAAACTTCCAATTGTGAGAAATAAAGTTAAAATTGCAATATATAAACTCGAAATTCTGACTTTTTCTTGCAATTGCGTTACAAAGTCAGAAATGCAAGATATAAAATCCCAATTCTGAGGAAAAAAAAGTCAGCATTTGCAAGTTTATATTTTGCAATTCCGACTTAATAAGATTTACATTCATTCATTTAGCTGATGCTTTTATCCAAAGTTTTATCCAAATGCTATCCTATCCTTACAATTGCTATATATGTCAGAGGTCGCACTACTAGGGGTTAATTGTCTTGCTCAGGGACACATTGGTGTCTCAAAATGGATTCGAACCTGGGTCTCTCACACCAAAGGCATGTGTCTTATCCTCTGCGCCATCACCATTATAACTCACAATTGAGAGGTTGATATCTTGTAATTCTGACTTTATAACTCGCAACTGCACGTTTACAGCACGCAATTCTGAATTGCAAGATGTATACTCGCAATTATGAGAAAAAAAGTCCGAAATATGATTTAAAAGTCGCAATGACCTTTTTTTATTTTTTTATTTAGTGGTGGAAACAAGCTTAAAATAGTATTGTGTTTAAATGTCCAGTCTCCAATACAACAAAAAAGAAGAAAAAAAAAACTAGGCCTATCTGAAAGCAGCCCGATGGAGAATTCAGCTTTTAATTCGGCCGGTAAACACCCCCTTGAGGAACAACCCCAGTGTTTCTCATAGGAAACACTTAATAGCCGAGAGCTGATTTGCTGCCCAATGAAGCAGATACAGTATACGCAGGCTATAGCAGTGTTTTTCTCCTAAAATTTCTCCTAATTTAGCTGTACTCACAAATGGCTTCTCCATCTCTGTTTTGCTCAGCTCTGTATGAAAGAAAGAGATGTTTTTTTTTTAGTGCACAAATTAACAGCATTTGAGTAATAATGGAGTTGTATGGGCTCCTCCCAGTGTGGGGCAGCCTGCCTTATTAGCATTAGCTGGGTGACCTTCAGCATTTTGATTTCCTTCCAATGGCCAATTAAGCAGGGGGTGGTTTATTTAAAATAACATTCAAATAATTACGCTGAAATTTGGATGGGGATGAGGGTCGAGAAAACCTTAAAAATGTGCTTTAACACACTTTGTCTGATCCTCAGCTCCTCTGCTGGTTATAAAGGACAGTTCGCAGTCTTCAGGTCTTCACAGGCACCACCAGTCAGTTGGGGAAAGAGAACAAACACATTAGATGGAGTGTTATGATAAGGATTTCTAAAAGACAGTGCCCATGTGTGCTGTGCCAGGCTGGTCTGACACTAATCCCAGATTTGATAGAGCACCAGCCAGTTCTTTGGAGCCCACCAGATGAGAGACAGCTACAGCTGACAACACAACTGAGAAAGAAAGACTGCTTACTTGAGGTTTGCCAGTGTTTTAATGAGAGCGAACTCCCGACGCTGGCTGGGTGGCATCCAGCGGTGTCTCTCTGCCAGTGCGAGCGTCCGCCCACCGAAACCAAACATGGCCGAGAAACCGAACCTCACCAGACGACCCATAGAGCTAAAGCTGCACACGTCCACAGGCTGATGATGACCTGGAACAGCAACGGAACAATGTTAGTAGTGGATAATATGTACACTATAGAAAGAGTTCAAAACCACTAGGAACAGAAGACACCACAGCCACTCAAGGGGTGGTGAGACCCATTACAAAGATCTGTTAAAAACACCAAACTCGAAAGCAGTATGGCATGCATCCTTCATTAAGAAAGTGATCTAAAAAGCACTGCGACAAGGGCTGTGCCCGAAAGCTTAGGCACTTGACTTGATGACTTTGCAGACTTTGGCTTATTGGTCTTCAACAAAATAGAGAGAGCTTTGGTGAAAACTAAAGCCTAGTTCACACTACGTGATTTTAAGCCCGATTTAAGCCCGATTTGCAAATCGTTGAGTCGCCGACAAGTCAGGGTGTTATCGCGTGCAAATCGCGGGCGATTAGCGGACGATTAACGCTCGCCAATCCGTGTGAAAGAGCCAACAACGCACCAAAGACAGCTCGCAGACACCTCGCAGACAGGTCACCGAGCTCAGAAAAATATCTAGCATGCTAGATATCTCGAGCAGTCGCGCGACTCAATCTCAGTGATGTCATGAATACAGCCAATCATAGCAACGCATGGGTTGAGGACACCAGGTAAATCTTACTTTTTCTTTTTTGCATTTTTTTTCTCAGAGCAGATCGTCGAGCAAACAGTGTGCAGCACTAGTTTCTGTCTGACGTCCATATTCGCGTTATGTTCTCTGCAGTTTCGCGTCATTTCTGGTTCGTTTTATTGCGTGGTTTTTCGTGAAAAAACATGGTTTCTAGACCAGATAGAATCGTGTTGTTGTCAACTCGTTATTTGTTTGATTATTTTCAGGATTTAGACCGTACTATAGTACTGAAACAGCTCTCATTGAGTCACAAATGATATGCTCTTATCATCCGATCGTGGTTGTATCTCTGTGTAGTGCGTTGTTAACTCGTGTAGTGAGTCACCTTCTGTTGTGGATCAATCACGTTGTGTTGTGTGGTGTGAACAGCTAAACAACTTGAACACTCATGATTTCACTGAGAGCAAGTCATGTAATGTGAACTGCACAGTTCAGCCCAACATTTTAAAATCATGTAGTGTGAACTAGGCTTAAGTGAATATTGAATTACTATAATAGTAATTTCTCACTAGAAAGAAATAAAAAGTGTTAACCTGGGGTGGTGATGGCGCAGTGGATAAGACACATGCCTTTGGAGTGAGAGACCCGGATTTGAATCCAAGACGCTTAAAGCTCCAGTCCATAACTTTTTTGGGTTAAAAATTATCCAAAATAATAACAATAAAAAACATAACCAGTCAGTCTTCAAAAATATCTGCTTGTCTATGCTCGATTCAAAACGGTTAGCTTGTAATAATGTTTTTAATTCCAGTGGTACTGGTGGATTTCCGCGGGAAATTCAAGCATGTCTTTGCGTCACATCAGTACACATAAAGAAGGAGTCCCGGTAACGTTAGGCTATATTGCGTGTGAGGATGTTGGAGGTGGAAATGTATAGCCTTTTCTCACAGCACTTTAAATAATTAAACTTACAATCTGGCGGATCCAGAATGGTTCAAACGACAATCACCAGTGACAACTGGAGATTCACCAGTTGTAAAACCCAAAAGAATTCAGACTTCGGAGTGGGTAGAGAAAAAAAGAGACTGGGACCGGGCCACGCGAAAACAAGGATAAACATCGGCAGGGCTTTTGAACTCTGTGATTTGAAGGGGTTCAAAACGGACGCAGAGACGGCTTTTTTCTGTTGGGCAGGTAAGACATTTCAATAGTTCAATTCACTTAATTCACACAGTTACAGAGTTTCCTTTGTTGTGGCTTTTTTTTCCGTTTTGCTATTATGGTAAATATGAATTATTTTGTGCTAGTTATGAGAGGGAGAGATTTACTGCAATGCTTTTTCCCCCCTTTAGTTGATCTGAAAAAAAGTGGATGTTAGGCCTACTTACTTGTTCAAATGACATTTTCTGATGAAAATTCATACGTTGTCATGGTCATACTGTACTTCCAAATGTAGAATGTGTGATTCTGAATGCCAGTATCCACACCAGCGCGGTGACTGACAGACGCGCTGTCTCCGTGTTCATCCGAGCTGTTTCATGCCGATGTACAACTGACGTAAAGTTAATAATTGCGCGAATAACTGCAATTACACATTTCGAACAGAGATGTTGACATAGAGGAAAAACTGCGGACTGCAGCTTTAACCCTAGTTGCTTGTAAGTCGCTTTGGATAAAAGTGTCAGCTAAATGAATAAATGTAAATGTACATTTAGGCCCAAATTGACCACCAACAGCATCTTTCAGACACCATGTTTATTTTTTTAGCTCAACTGTCACGGATTGAACGCACATGATTGTGGGATATCAAAGGCAGAGAAAATCGTTCAGATGAAGGTATCTTAGGAGACAGGATGTGAAGATAAATAGTGGATTTGGAAGTGCCTTCCTACCTTGGAATGTGTCCTCCAACAGCCAAAATTAAGGAAAATAAGATATGATGTTGAAAAGAGAGCCGGATTTCAGTGTTGTGTACTCGAACATATTAGACCCGACCACTCGAGTCCCATTCAAAACGACTCTATGGTCTCGGTCTCGACTCGGACCCGACCCTCTATGGTCTCGGTCTCGACTCGGACTCGACCCTCTATGGTCTCAGTCTCAACTCGGACTCGACCTCAACCCTCTATGGTCTCGTTCTCGACTCGGACTCGACCCTCTATGGTCTCGGTCTCGACTCAGACTCGACCCTCTATGGTCTCGGTCTAGACTCGGACTCGACCCTCTATGGTCTCGGTCTAGACTCGGACTCGACCCTCTATGGTCTCAACTAGGACTTGACCCTCTATGGTCTCGGTCTAGACTCGGACTTGACCTCAACCCTCAATGGTCTCGGTCTAGACTCGGACTCGACCTCAACCCTCAATGGTCTCGGTCTGGACTCGGACTCGACCCTCTATGATCTCAGTCTGGACTCGGACTCGATCCTCTATGGTCTCGGTCTAGACTCGGACTCGACCCTCTATGGTCTCGACTCGGACTCGACCTTCTATGGTCTCGACTCGGACTTGACCCTCAATGGTCTCGGTCTGGACTCGGACTCGACCCTCTATGGTCTCGGTCTCGACTCGGACTCGACCCTCTATGGTCTCGGTCTAGACTCGGACTCGACCTCAACCCTCAATGGTCTCGGTCTGGACTCGGACTCGACCCTCAATGGTCTCGGTCTGGACTCGGACTCGACCCTCAATGGTCTCGGTCTGGACTCGGACTCGACCCTCTATGGTCTCGGTCTAGACTCGGGCTCGACCCTCTATGGTCTAGACTCGGGCTCGACCCTCTATGGTCTCGGTCTAGACTCGGACTCGACCTCAACCCTCAATGGTCTCGGTCTGGACTCGGACTCGACCCTCAATGGTCTCGGTCTGGACTCGGACTCGACCCTCTATGGTCTCGGTCTGGACTCGGACTCGACCCTCTATGGTCTCGGTCTGGACTCGGACTTGACCCTCAATGGTCTCGGTCTAGACTCGGGCTCGACCCTCTATGGTCTAGACTCGGGCTCGACCCTCTATGGTCTCGACTCGGACTCGACCCTCTATGGTCTCAGTCTCGACTCGGACTCGACCCTCAATGGTCTCGGTCTGGACTCGGACTCGACCCTCTATGGTCTCGGTCTGGACTCGGACTCGACCCTCTATGGTCTCGGTCTAGACTCGGACTCGACCCTCTATGGTCTCGACTCGGACTCGACCCTCTATGGTCTCGGACTCGACTCGGACTCGAGTGAGCTGGTCTGAACTACAACACTACCGGATTTAATTCTAAATATACTGTATTCAGCACCAAAAATTGTGCAATTGTTTTACCCCAATATATGCTCTATTGATCTGATTGTGAGTCGAATGCCCTGTGCAGTTCATGTTAGGAGCACTAAATTGAAGTTGCTTATAAATGAAATGGTTAATGTATGAGGTGTTAAGAAACTGTCTTAGAAGGTAGCTGCCTATAGGTTTTTTTTTTAAACAGAGCCATTGAGAGAATCATAACAGATGCACACAGTTATGTATGTATGTATTGCGTGTATGCACATAAATGTGCATCATATAATCACCGAATGTAATTCTAGTCCATTAGAAACAATAGAGTCATCTATCAAGTGTCAATGTGACATCACTTGAGTTTATTCATTGCATATGTCGGAGTGAGCAGGAATGACTGGATCTGGTGGCCCATTGGTTGAGTCCAGTCCCTGTAGCCCGGCCCATTCCTGACCTCCTTCTGTCTCCCCATGCATACACTCTCCCTGCTCATGAATTATTCATTGGATCCTTCCAAATCCCGCCAGTTGGCCTTATTCACATGCGTAAATATTGCTTAATTAGAAATGAACAAGCCCTATATTGGCCTTCCTAAATAGGCATTACTCTCTCATTCGTGTCAGGTGTCTTATGTGCCGTTGATGTTTCTCTTTTGCCTTGGAGCAACAAAGGCCAAACACTTTGTGGTGTAGAGAAAGAGAACGTGTTGTTTTAAATTCAGTTCGCTTTACAGGAATGTCTTCTAAGGGAAAGCTGTCGTTTGCTGAGCGAGTGCCTACACTTAGCTCAGCGGTTCGTACAGAGAGCCACAATGTTTTGATGGAGCAATTAATCACAACGGTACGAGGATGTTTCTCAACGTTCCTGCTGAGATAGCGGGTGTACTGCGGTGCACAGAAAAAGGTGCCAATCTCGGCGAACAAAAGAAATTCAACACTCCTTCTTAAAACTCACACCTCCCTTTAGTCAAAAGCTATGAGTTACACCGCCATATGGCTCAGTTCTGAGGACTTAATGATGAGATGCATTCTCTCACACGTGGAGGTCAGATCGGGGTTAATCATCCGAGTCTGCAGCCAAGCGAGAAAAGAACTGGGCCGGACAGTTTTAGGCACTCACCAGTTTTGAGGGTTTGTCAACCGATATTGTCACACAATCCAGATTTGCTATTTTAAAGGGATAGTTCACCCAAAAAATTACATTCTGTAGTCACTTATGTTGTTCTAAACCTGTTAACTTACTTTCTTCAGTGAAAAGAGGACAATTTTAAGAATGTTTAAACTGTTTTATAAAGTCAGTGTCTAATAAGAAGTTAATAAGAAGATACTTTATAAAGAAAGTCCACTTTGTGTATACAGGCAGGTCTCGACAAGTCAAACCACGAACGCTGTTCATACAGTTCAGCTCACTTGGCACATCGTTCGACTTATCGACTTATCGAGAAACGTGGGCGCCGTCATCTTTAGAATTTTGTTTTTGAACTTCCGTTTTTGCGGTCGCTCTGTATATTTCTATGGCATCGCTGTCGGGTAGTTAGCTGGTGAAGTGGATTTACTTATTGTAGAGTTAACAAAAGTTATCATAAACATTGTAATGTTTATCATAAGGATTGTAAAGCAGATGTCATGACAAATGTCGACCGGGAATTTTTTTACGAGCAGTTCATTCATACCTATGCAAGATCGCTGTGAAAATACAGACCGGAAGTCAAAAGACAACGAGCGTCTACATGAGGTCTAGACACAAAGTAAACTCTTTATAAAGTATCTTCTTATTAAACGGTCTGTACAATTACAAAGTTCTCAATGCTTCGTTTTGCATGTAGGGACCCTCATTATGTTACTGTGTTAGTGTGGGGCTATTTTGAACCTTGTTAGTGGTATTAACTAGCCATTTCTTTTTACTTATTCTATGCCCTATATACTAGCGTTATACACTAAACAGTTTTTAGAGATTTAACTCTTTACAGTCGATTATCATGAAAACAAATCACAGAGAAGGGTTAACTAGGTACCAAAGTATCATTAGACCAAAGGCTCATTTTGCGCCGGAGTTTTCCTTTAACTCAATTTAGTTACTGTCCCAAACACCAGGCACGTGCAGAGGGGGGGGGCGTTGGGTGCTCGAGCACCTGCCCTTTTGCCCCTTGGTGCCCAAAGTGCCCTTTTGTCAAGACAAAATTTCCTCTCCTTTTTTTTGTATTTAAAGGCACTTTTGTCGATGCCTGCCCCATCTAACTAGTAGTAAAATGAATGAATAATAATTTAGCTGTAAATAAAATGACCCACATGATGACCTTTCACCTGATTCCTCACGCTGCACGCGCATTTTATAATTTCGCGCGGCTACGCGCAATCGCGCAATCGCGCATTCCCAGAGGATATCTTCAAGTCTTGCGGCTGCTGGTAAGTGGTGTTCTATTCTCAGCGAAGTGATTTTGATGTTTGTTTACTTATTATTATTATTTTACTAGAACGACGTGAAGAGAGCATGCAGAGAGATGTTGTTTGTATTGATGTGTGTAGGCTGTAGAAGTAACGTTAGCTTGCTGTTTGAGGGAGAAAAGTTTCACGGGCGTGGAGGGGTGTTATTTGACTAAAAACTATTATTTTTACTTTAAACTATTATTATTATTACAGTATTTATTAAAAAAAATATTTTCACATAAAAATGATTATCACAACTCTGGTAAGTTATCACATAGGCATACCAGTTAGTATCTTATGTTTTGTGTGCAGAAGCCTCTGTGAACATCTGCCCTAGTAACGTTATTATTATATACTATTATTGTATTATATACTTTAGCAGCCTGGGTAGAATCTGTAGCTTTAGCAGGTCAGTGAACTAGTGAGCCAGTTCCAAACACTGTCAGCAATCTTTACATCTTGGAATGGTCTTTACATCTTTACATCTTGGAATCATAAAAATGGTTTATTCAGCTAATACCCTATATTTCTGTTTATTTTAATGTCTACAGTCTCAGATCAACTCCAGCAGTATCAGCAGCAGCAGTAACAACATCAACAGCAAAGGCAGCAAACTCACTTAAGGACTTAAAGTAAGAATTTACCAGAACAGGCATCACATTAATGTTAAAAATCTTGTAAAGTATTAATTGCTGTTTCTGTTTGCTTTGTTTTTTATTTTCATTGTATAAAATGTAACTCTTGTATTTTTGTAAATCAGTTTTTGCCATGAAAAAAGCCACAGATGCTGATATTCCATTAAATAAAACTATACTGTACTGCACGAAACATGGGCCACGTTGATTTTGTCCTACAGTTCACTATAACAGCTGTTCTTTATTATTCTGTATAACAGAGAAGAAAAAGCCATCAGGTTGGAACAACTTAAGATGCTTCAGTTTCTAATCCCAGAGTTATAGATAGAGCACATCAATTATTTTTTTTAATTTTAAACTTTAAATTTGTCTTTTCTGTTCTGGTTCTTTTTCAAAACTGCATCAATGCATTTGCTGCTGTATCGATGCAGAATCATCTGTATTGAAATATTACTGTATTGATATTTTGAGCACAGCCCTATAAAGCCTTGTTTCCATGCCCCATTTTATACTTTGAGCACCTGCCCCTACAGAGGTCTCTGCACGGCCCTGCCAAACACTGGACAATAACTGAATGATAGAATTTTTATTTTTTAGGTATTAAATCTTTAGTTTTTTCTTCACACAAAGCAATATATACTGTAGTATGACTTCATAAGACTTAGAATATCATGCATGAGCCATTTGGACTACTTTTATGGTGCTTTTTATGCTGTTTTTTTTTTTTGTATATATATTTTTAAGCCTGATTGCCAATGGAAAATAACTATGAAGATTCCCCTAAAAATACTTTTTTGTCTTCTACTACAGAATTAAATAAAAGTGCACAGCATTCTGGAATGACATGAGGGTGAGTAAATTGCTTTAACCCAACCACGAACTATCTATGAAGCCTGTGAACGGAAAACAAAATATAACCAAATTTTCTGTAATCCACATAATGAACAATAATGAAGTAACAACTAAGAACCTAATTAAATTGAACTCAACTGAATTCGGTAATTCTTTTGTGCAGTTCTGATTGTTCATCCCAACTGTAATTCAGCTATAAAGCGACATTTTTGCCAATATGTGTTCGTTCTCTTTTTTTTGGAGGACGTGAGCTTAGCTTGTGCGTGTAATCCCCTGACAAGCCAAATCCGCTTGTCTGTTAAGCTAAGCCCAGGAGAGCTTGCACAGTCGACACAATGGCCCAGACATATTGGTGCTAACTTCAAAAAACGCTTCACAGACAGACAGACAGATAGGAACATGCAATCCTAAAGCCAAAACGAACACTGCCAGCCAGAAGTAACACTTCCAACGACGGCCCACAGCCACGTCAAAGAAGCTCGGCGTACGTGGCGGGACCGTACGGGTGATTGACGACAGACGTATCTCTACCTCTCCCGGGACTGTCTCTTGTTCCATGGGACCTGTTAACCATGATCTCCAAAGCTGGAGAGGCAGAGCCCGCGTGGGGGGTTTGCCGTCTCTCGGCCCCCATAACAACAGCCTGTGCACTCTAATTAAACAACAGATTACAGAGAACCACCACACGCTCTGCCATTGCTACTCGAAAAAGGGAGAGAGACTTCCAAAGGGTGAAAAAATGAAACCATTGCCCCTGCACACAACTCAGTGGAATTGAAAAGTAAATACGAATCCCATTTACATGTTATTATCATGTATATTTGTGCTCCATTAAGTCCCGCGGTTCCTCGAGGCCTTACTGTTAGCGTACAGGCAGCTGTGGCTCACTCTTAGAAGAAAAGGTTCTATAGAACCTTAAAAGGTTCTATCAGTGCTACGTATTTGGAACCCCTAAAAGGTTCTATAGACTCTTAAAAAAAGGGTTCCTCTGGGTTCTATATAGAACCCTGGGGTTCCATACTTGGCCAATAGAACCTTTTACCAAAAAAAATGGTTCTATATAGAACCATTTTGGAGTTCCATATATGAAGCGGGGGATGGAACCATTTCTGGTTCTAAATAGAACCATTTCTTCTATAGAGAATCGCTAGAAGCTCATGTGTGAAGGAGAGAAGAAACTGAGATAAATACCCATGATGATGTGCAAGGTCGCAGTCACTGCGCGTCTTACTCCATGCACAGAGCACGCCACCACGTCAGTAGAACCTATGGAAGGAGAATTACACACATTTTAACACTCTTTAAGCAATCAAGCTCCAAAAAACACATGTACTTACAACATTGTAGATCCTAAAAATGTGACATAATATGCGCTGTCTTAAGCCAGATAGAAATGCCATAAATGTTGGTCTGTTTGTCACATAAAGTTGTTGCATGGCTTGGAATCAAGAACATGAGACAAAATTCATTGTGTTGAGGGCAATATTAGTGTGAATTTTACAAAAACTGACTAGAAATGGTTATATTTTCCCCCCAAATCAAAAGAAAACTATTTTTATATTATAAACAACAAATATTATCTTATATACATCAGTGGTAAAAAGTTATGCCCGGCCTAAGAGAATTGACCCTTTCTCTTCACCCTTTATTCAAATATTATTCAAAAATAATTTTGTAAAAAATAAAATTGTGTAGTTGTTGCTTGGTTTGCGATAACACAATGAAACATGGCAAATTGTGTGGAAATTAGTTTTTTTGACTAGGCTTTCATACAATGAAACTATGAGCACATACAAAAACAAGAGAGAACCATTGAAATATGAATAACTGATTATGTCAGTGTCAGCTTTTTGTTTTTCTATGCCTTTTTTGCATAGTAAAACAAAACCTGTAGTTGTAGTTTGGCTTTTTGCTGTCAAATCAATACCTTAACCAAGTTTAGGCTTTTGTTCTTCTCTCATATTAAATATATACAACATTTCCCTCAAATTTTGATGGTGTAATCGAACTTGTATGATCATTAAAAACAAATATGTTTTCCGGACATCACTGAATGTCATAAAATTAATACAATCATATTATATTATACTGAATGAGGTATTTCTGCATATTGTCATTAAAAAAGTTTCAAAATTGTCTTAATGTTTAAAAAATACAACATAAAATTTCCCTTTATTGTCTTCTGAATCCATGCGATAGCTTTGTTTGATTATCAGTGAACAATGAAATAAATTTTAAGTGATCATATGGCTTCAGATGACTATAAATAGATGAATAATAAATAATATAAATAGAAAAAACTCGTGAGCTTGAGTCATGGTTAGAAATACACTCGCATTAAGAATTATCAGTAGTCATTTTTTCAATAGACACAGTATAGGGATTTGGATTCGCATTTTGGGTGACTTGTTCCTTTAAATGGATGCATTTCATCAACAATCAAGCCTGTCTATTTGGATCAATTCTATTCTCTGCACAGGTGATTTTGTGATAAAGCTTTTTCTCGTTAGACACACGCTGATGCTGATGCTATGAGACCATCTGAATGCTGTGGCATATGGTCCCATGATGTTTGCTATAGTGTGTATCTCTGCACAGACACTGTTTACTCTCAGTGAGTGATGAGATTCCATTAAGAGTGGCTACAGAAACGTGAAAAAATGTAGCTTTGCTTTATTATAGTAGACTCTCTCCCCTGCATATCAATGTTCTCAAGCACCTGCTACAGAGGACAGAACGGGAACTTTTCCATTCAATTTCTATTCAACCAATCACGACTCACTTCAATAATCTATGCTCCAATTATGCACAATTTTTCTTTCTTTAGCACGCTTTTTTCTATTAAATGTATCTATACTCTACTAAAACTATGTACTTCAAGAAAGTGTGTAGTCAGACAGTATTATGACATACTGCAAAGTAACTTGTTGAGAAAAACTTAAAAGTTTAAGGCAACCAGCTGCAGGACATTTTTGAGTTTTCTCAACCTAGGGTCATTAGTTGTACAAACGTTTTCATGTTAAATAGTTGAATAAACCTTAAAACAGAATTTCAAACAAACAAAATGTAAGTTGGATTTTTTTACAGTGGAGTTGTGGCAACCATTAGGGTGAATCTTACAAAAACTGTCAAGAAATAGCCATATTTCCCCCAAAATTCAAATGGAAAAATTCTATTATATTATATTTACCTTATAATTAGGGGTGTCAAATCGTGATTAATTGCGTGTTAAATATGTGATTAATCGCGATTAATCGTTTGACAGCCCTAATTATATTATATTATATTATATTATATTATATTATATTATATTATATTATATTATATTATATTATATTATATTATATTATATTATATTATATTATATTATATTATATTATATTATATTATCAGAAACGTTCAGAAACGTTGGAATATAGCCACATTTTTGTTTTTGTCGTGAAAAGAAAAATCTGCATTTCTCTTTTTGTGTTCAACAGACAGCATATGGATTTGGAACAAGGATGAACTGATCATTTAAAGGGGTTGTTCACGCAAAATTGAAAATTCTGAGATTTAAAGTACCGTGTTTTGAAAAGATTTAAAGTACCGTGTTTGAAGAGTGCGCATGCGAACGTGCTCTACTATCTAAGAACGAGCCAAATATTGAGTGTGGTAATAAAGCAAAATAACTGAGAACAATTAGAAATAGTCAGATGACATGTCAGAAATTAATATTAAAAAATCTAGCGTTCATAATCTAAGCAAACAGTTTCATTAAGAGTAGTTATTATCCTGTTATTAGCGTAACCAACGTGGTTGAACGATACTTTGCGACAGTGGGTTTCGGGAAACAGTCGTGTCTAGCTAGTTGATTTCTCCAACGATGCATCGTACTATGGTAGTGAAGCAGTGAACTACATCGTTGTACGGGAAATGCAACCCAGGTTTGGAACAACTTGAGTGTGTGAGTTGTGATGGAGCATTGATATAAAAACAGCAGCAGCTTCGCCCATCTAATGATTGAGGTAAAGTTAATCATTACAAGATGAGGACTTTGTTAAAGGGCATTAATTTAAGTTAATATCACCTTGTGCCAATTAAGGCGGTTTACCTTGCTGGCAGCTTGCGAAGGGAGAACAGGTGTGTGTATTTGTACTGATTACTAGCAGAGACAAACAGCAGAGAGTGGCTTGTCCTTGTCGGGTGAGTAGGCATTTCCTTTCATGCAGTTATCTGGCCAGTGTGTTTGCTCAGATCAACAGGGTATGAAAGCAAATGTCTGTAAATGAGAACAGGACGGAGGTGTTGGATGAAATCGTTCCCTCCCTTTCTGACGATGAGACAGTGCTGGACACACACTCGCACTCCAAGTGAATTTGGCTGCGAGTAAATGTGCCTCTTCCCACCTACCAGGTCACTCCCTCACACACACATCCATGATGCTTCCTGGCCTCTCTGGGAGTTTCCATATGTTGTGATGATTTCAACACAAAAGCCAGGCTCTGAGCCTCATCTCATAAAGGTAACAGCGTTTGACAGACTGAGTTCCAAAAACCAGAGGGTTGCCTTGTTATATCGTAGCTAGTAGGGATAGCAATTTTAATTCTTTTGTTTATCAGATGGGTATATACTTTAATTATTTAAACGTATATATGTGCTTGGCTCTAAGCCCGTGTGTCCACCAAAGCATTTTAGCCAGCTGAAAACGCCAGACGCTCTGCTGAAGATGCCGTGCTTTGGCCGCTTGAGAGCGTTTTGGCAGCGCAGCGTTTTTTCCGTTGAGACGTTTCGTTGCTATGATACAGAATATCCGCAGCACAGTTTACTTGAAACTGATTTCGCAAATAATTTCATACCAAAAATGTATTTTTCATCCATTTTGTTCAGTTAGCTCAGCTGGTTGATGTCGTTGTACAGAAAGAATGTTGTGACAGTTGGTCAGTGTGGTTTAGTCCCGCCCCTCCTCCACTGTGATTGGACGGCTGGGTAAAAAGTGACAGTGATGAGCACTGCATTTTATCCAAAGTTGAACATTTTTCAACTCTCGGCGACCAGTAAAAAACGCTTGACGCTTCAGCATAAAAAAAATAAAAAAAATAAAAAACGCTCAGTGCCTCGTTACTCTCATGGCGTTTAAAAAAACGTTGTGCTCCCATTGAAAAAAATTGAAAACATACGCCAGGCGCGTGGAAAAACGCTTTAGTGGACAAACGGCCTAACTCAAAAAAAAAAATTAAAGACGGCACATGGCTAATAAAATTGAAAAATGCATAAAATAATAATTTAATAAACTTAAATAGAGTTTTGAATATATTGCCATACAATTTCTGAGACACTTCTCTCACTCTGTTTGCCTTTTTCCCCAGTTCATCGCAATGCATTATGGGTTTGCCTTCTCAGCAAAGTATTTATGTGATGATGCTTTAGAATTTAGCCAAAAGATCTTCCAGTCTCTATCCTTTTGAAACAGCCTTCTCATCAGGAGTGTGCATTTGATGCCTTAAAATACTGTCTACGTAGGCAGCTCGCTAGGATTTGGAACAGAGCCGACTCGCTCCCTGTCATAAACGGCAAGCTGTGGCTTTGCTGTGATATAGCAAAGTGAGTCCTACAGGGATACATTCTGGTGCAAGGCTTGTGAGAAACCGTAATATAAGGAGCGCTTGGCCTACCGCCAATTAAAAGAAATATAATGAATGCGGTTGCTTAGTCTCAGTGAGTGTGATATTAAAATCTCATTATCTGAATGCAAAAATTACCATTTATTACACAGATCTGGTAAAGCCCACTTGAGGTTGTCGTTCAACGTTTTGCGTGCGTGCGTCAGACAATGGTGTTTGACATTGATCGTTTTGTTCTTTTGTTGTTCGGTGGTGTCTGCAGTGCCGCTGCCGTGCGGTAACTCTATATTTCAAGCGTGCATCTGCCTCTCCCGCAAGGCTCAGAGCAACAGCCTGTGCCAACATCATCGGGACTTCCATATATTACCCATCTCCATTCCAGAACCTGGTGACGAATGGTGCTAGCGCCCAGATATTAGAGCAGGGGGGCGAATAGGAAGGAAAGGGGCTTTGAAAGAGCGAGAGAGAGAAAAAAAATTGTCCTTGGAAGTGCGAGCACTTCTGCAGAACAATTAACTTAATTAAGCAGACAGCATGAATATTCATAAGGCAGTTAATGTCTCCCTCATCCAGGCAGATGAATGTGATGCAATGACTCGCTAGTCAAGCATGTCTAAGAGTCTTGTGGAAACTGCACCAACATTTTGGTTCTTTGCCTGGAATATCAAAGAAATTAACAGTCCCCCTGAAACCCTTAAAAGCAGGCAAATTAATTAGAAGCCTGCAATTTATATGCCATACGTACCGATGAGTATATACTATGGTGCATAGAGAAAGCCTTTAATTGGGTAGGGCTCGCATTTCTCAATGTTGATCCTGCATCATGTAAATAAGGTATTTGTAATGAGTTTTATCTTCCGAAAAACTTGAATGTTTGTTCAACTTGACTGTACTATGAATAGTGACAGAAAGGAGCATTAAAAAATGACAAATTAAAGCGTTAAAGAAACTAGTCTGTTTTCCAGCTAAGATAATTAGATGTCAATGTAGCTGCTATGCGAGGGCATTTCTTGTATATTTTATTGGTAATTACTCGCAGTAAATCACTGTAGTTGGTGCAGTACATGGGTGTTTATGCATGGCTGTAACAAAGAGAGTGATTCGACTCCATTTCCTCCGTCCCTAAGGATTGACTTGGGTCTGATGTCACACCAAATGACACATCCAAACCTGTGCAGGGAAACGACAAAGGCGGGGGTCGTTTTTTTTTTTTTTTTCCCCTTCACATTTGTGACTGGAAACTGTTTACAAATTCTCCCATGGGATTCGGTACTAATGAAGAGAAACCACGACCCCGGTACGGTCAGTTTGCAGCGGGTGCTGGAGTTGGAGGGCTTCCATTGCTCCTAACAACAGCACTCCATTTTGCTGCGCCTAAAATGACAAGTGAAGGTCAATCTCTTGGAAGGAAAAGTAGGGGCCGCTATCGTACCAATCTATTCTGCTCTCCCCTCCTCTTCCCACCTCAGTTTGGCAGCTCTTTGGGGTTGGTTTGTGCCACAATCCCACAAAAAGAGAGGTGAATATCTGAGCTTAGTCAGTCCTGGACAATACGCAGGGCTCAGGGCCACTGATCCAAGGCCAGCGGAGCCCGTTTCAAAGGCAAATTGAGGATGCTCCATTTCAGACACTCTTGAAGGCAATTAACTCAGTGTGCGAGTGGGCCATTCAGAGGCCTGACTGTGATTAAATCAATTTGATAATGATACACTCGCTTGCTGCTGTTATGAGCTGCCTGTTTGTTTTCGCTAGAGGAGTTTCAAAACACAATCAAACTAAATCATTCTGACAGCGAAGAAACTAGAGAACGAAATTACTACAGGGTTTGATTTTTAATTGGCAGCACGCCGCTGATTGTTTTAGTGCAGGAATGAAGCATAAAAAGTTTCATGGTTTACCCACAAGACTATTACTATACATTATCATATTTTACTACTATAGTCACATTTAGACATGCCGTGATTATCAATTATTTTATATACGTCTTATTTCAGTTTCTTCTCTTACCTCATGGAGTCAAAACGGTGGTTTGTGGTGTGTGTGCTTTCAAAGCAATAATATAAATATGCAAATAATATAAGTAAAGTAAATTTATATATACTTTAAGACCAGAAAATATTTATATATAATAATTATTATTATTATTTAATATTATAATTAAATAATACATAAATGTATTATTATTATTATTGCATTAAAATTGTTTAATTTATAAATTAATAATATATGTATATAGAAAATTCCCTGTTTTTTCTTTTTCTTTATTAAAATATAATTGACTGATTGTGTAAGTAAAAGTGGTTATATTAGTAAAACTAATATAGTGTAATCGAATTAATATATAATAGTAATTATAATATAAATATACACTCACCTAAATGATTATAAGGAACACCACACTAATACTGTGTTTGACCCCCTTTCGCCTTCAGAACTGCCTTAATTCTATGTGACATTGATTCAACAAGGTGCTGAAAGCATTCTTTAGATATGTTGGCCCATTTCTAAAGAATGACTCGAGCTTTGTGACATGGTGCATTATCCTGCTGGAAGTAGCCATCAGATGATGCCATAAAGGTCAGAAACAATGCTCAGGTAGGCCGTGGCATTTAAACGATACCCAATTGGCACTAAGGGGCCTAAAGTGTGCCAAGAAAACATCCCCCAACACCATTACACCACCACCACCAGCCTGCACAGTGGTAACAAGGCATGATGGATCCATGTTCTCATTTTGTTTACGCCAAATTCTGACTCCATTTGATTGTCTCAACAGAAATCGAGACTCATCGGACCAGGAAACATTTTTCCAGTCTTCAACAGTCCAATGATGTCATCACAAATATAACTCTTCCACCGCTCCCTTCAAACCACCTGGCTCCATTCTAGTAAGCAACACCCACTTTCCACATTTATTTCCATACACATATAGCTTTGAAACAATTTCACTTGCATAATCTGATGTACTTCTGCAGTGTGAAACAAGATACACAACAAGAATAACCATTGGTAATTTCATTTATTGTTTTGTGGAAGGTGGGTGTTGCATCCTAGAATGGGCCCAGGTGGTTTGAGGGAGGGGTTAAAGAGTTATTGTTTGTAACATCGCCCGGAATAACCAGAATTATGTTGATATAAGTTAACAATAATGTGCACGGGATGAATTGTGCACAGTAAGACCAGAAACGTCTATAATAGTAAATTGGGTCAAGTAAATTGGGTCAATTTTGAATTCATGTTGACTCAGCGAGGATTAAACGCTCATTCGCATTCACCCTCCTGAGAGGAGCTGGACATTTTGGGCTGTACTGGGGACAGCTGCAGGAGAAAGAGATACACCACCCCTGATCCTCACCTGCTGGTATTATGCCGAGAGGAAGTGCTGCTTGGACAGGCGTGAAGATGGAATCTGTGTCCCTCCCAGCGTCCATCTGGGCTCGGAGAAGCAACCCGTGGGCCACCTCAGCCACAGAGCCATCTCCCCCAACACATACCACACTAGAGAGAAAGCAAACGGATGGGCGGTGAGTCACGTGACCCAAAGTCATGGCCAAGGGCTGGCTAACACACATGTAACAAATCAATTAGGGCTGTTGTTCGCTCATGTGGATAAATGTAAATCCATATGGAAGAGTATTTGGTTAAATATACAGATTACACATGGCATAGTTATTCCTTAAATATGATTAAAAATTCCTACTAAGTCTTTATTAGAGGAATCCATTTCAATTAATGGAGATCATAATTCACATTACTTCGTATTGAACAATAGATTAAACCATGGAAGCGTCGAGAGGGTGGTATGTATTCTAATTGGGAAATGCCCTTTTTTTCAAGAATAGAGGAAAATCTGTCAGATCGCAGCAGCGAAATAAATCATTAAAAATGGCTGAGCCCACTAATCTGATTTAAGCACATTACTAATAAATGAACACAGCCTAGTAAAGCTGATTACATTTAATTCAGAAATGCCCTTTAGCAATACTGTACAATCTCACAAATAGATTTGTTTAGCAGACACGGCCTGCACTAATAGGCAAGTAGTCATGCCACTCCCAAAATGAGTTCTGTGACCTTGCAGTCGCAGGTGTTTGGGATAAATCTGCCTGCAATGTTTTGATCCGCCATATATGTTAAGCCTCGAAGGACGCTGCGAATCTACCAAATCAGCAGAGTAAATATTAAGCGATACATCAAAGCTCACCTATTCACCTATGGGTTGTTTTATGAAGGAGTGGGTGGGACTAACCGTGTTTTAACATTTGATGCTTTTCACAGGTGTCAGAGACTGTGCCTTATCTTCATCTGTAGAGGTTAAAGCTTCAACGGAGAGGCCTCACCAAACACACAGTGTGCCGAGACAATGCGGAGCTTTATGGGAATGACGGATGAGGTAGAGATGAGCAAGCCCCATTCCACATTAACCAGGGTTCAGTGCTGAAGTTAACATGTAGCATGTAGGGCAGTCAACTGATGAAAATGCTAACCAGATTAACAACATGATATGCCGATTATTTAAATAAAAATGAATGGGATGTCACTATTTAAAGGAAGCCCCCAAATTAAGATAATTCAAATACATTATTGCATTAAAAATGTAATAAATTGGCTTTAAATGGTATATATTCATATCATTGAATATAAGCTCATGTTTACTCATGTCAACTTGTGTCTGTACAAGGCAGACTTTGCATTGAGTCTGACATTCTTTGAATTATATACAGATGTCCTCTGCAGTTAGTATTGTCACTTGCTAGTTAACTAGTTACTTAGTTGTGTAGACTTGAATTTTTGACTTGGGGGGGGGGAAAGTGAAAAATTCGTAACACTTTATTTTAAGGTGTCATTGTTAAAGTGTAATTATACATTTAAGCACTGAGTAATATTTACTAATAATATGTACTAACTATATATATTGTTAGGGTAGGATTAGGATTTGGTTGAGGGTAAGTTGCGTGTAATTATGCATAATTTACTGTTATTATATTGTAAGTACATGCAACAAGGACACTGTAAGATAAAGTGTTGCCAAAAATTCTTATGCAATTCTATATGCCATGTACTTACAGATCAGAGGGAATAATTAATTAAATGTGCAATAAATGCTTTAATAATGTGGTGGTTTTTTTATATTGTTTGTTTTTTTTTTGCATTTTGACGATAGCACTAAATTTAAGTTGACAGTAATGTCATTTTTTAAGTAACAAATTTAATTTATTTTATTTTTTATTTTTTTACTGATAAATAACAGCTGAAAACGTATTCTCCATGTTGGGAAAGTAATGCTAATGTAATGAGTATAATGGTATGCGGGCGCCCTATACGGCAGCGGCTACTCCAGCTCCCAGTAACGATGTGCATTCTATGTCTTGGACTACGAAATTCGAACTTTTTAAATGATCTTTCCGGGATTATGTTTGTTCTGGAACACAAAGCACTCGACGAGCTAGGCATTTTATGATGTGACACTCCGAGTTGAGCGCACATGGGTTGGAAAGCTAAGGACACACAACTTATGTTGTGCTTGCTCCCCCAGTCACAACTTCAACTGGGAACTAGCAAATATCCACTTCTGAGGACAAATGGAACGCACCGTAAATGACTATTGTAGGAGTTATTGTATTATCACAGTTAGAGGTTATGGTTATCAGATGTACAGAGCCCACAAATGCTCAATTTATGGTTAAAAAAATTAACTTTTTGTCAAAAATGTGACATTAGGGTGTGTGAGATATGATTGTTTTGCATAACATATTTCAAGTTTATGTTGATTAAACCAATCTCCTTCATTGAATTAACTCATTTCAATGAACTTAAATTAAGCCAACCAGGATACTTATGTTTTTAAGTTAAACCAACAATATTTGTTTACAGTGTATATCAGATAAGCAAACCATGTTAGAGGAAAAGTAGACTTTCCTATGTAAAAAAATTCCTTCAATCCAAGAATAGCTCTTCAACTCTGAAGGAGCTGACAGTGAGAAAAAAGTAACGCACTACTTCCATAATGTTCCCTAGTGTGTCACGTCAGTCTGTTTGTGTGGCACTTATCTCACTTCCCATCTATCAGGAGTCAATGTGGTGGCAGTAAAAATTGCACAAATAAGGTCTTTCCATTCAGGGTGCTGATAATTAACATAAATGTGTGAGGGGAATAATTGCATTCATTGCTGATGTGCCATCACTTTAACGTCTATTGTGTGTGGCACACTGCGTGACTTCATGTGAGACGTAACTGAAATAGCACCGTTCCATTTAAACCGGGAAGCATCAGTTGCTGAAGTAATTAATGAGTGATGATCTAATAATGAAAAAAACGTGTGATTAGTATTACCTTTGCAGAATTAATTCCTCAGAAGTTAATTAATAGAGTTCAGAGGAATGAGGACAGGGGACTGAGTTTAGAGTGCTATAACACGTTTCATTGACAGGAAAAAAGAAGAATGTGGAATTAGGCAAGTCTCTTTTCTTTTGCTTTCGCTGAGGTGTTAAAGATCTGATACATTTCTAATAAAACACCCTATGTTGTTCAGCATTGCTATCGCATTATTATTACCACATTATAAAATACATTTACAGAGTGTGTTTTTTCCTCCATAAAATGACTTTTGTTCCACTTTTTTTTTTTGGTCCATACATTAACAACTTTTTTTGTGTTCTACAGGAGAAAGAAAGTCATAATGGTTTGGAGCAACATGACCGTGAGTAAATGATATTTTTAACTGTCTCTGTGAAGACCAGACTCTATTGTGCGATTGAAACTCATGAGGCTGTAACAATAGTAAATTCCCTGCTTGAAGATTATCCTGTTTAGCCAACAACAGAAAGAGTGATCTTTTTTTTTTTTCTCCGCCGGGTTAAGTAGCTTATATATCCTCAGTGATTTGTCATGCCGACAGAAAATTATATTTCAACAAAATCATCAGAGCATCATTTCTATAATCCTCGAAAAAGAATAAGCTTTGTGAAATTGGAATACACAGACAGACCATGACTGATGCCGAAATTCCACGCAGATATTATCCTCAGCGTTAAGTCTCGAGTCTTACTGCTGCGCTGAACAAGAGCAAGACAGATCTATTATCTATAATGAAATCTATTACCATAATTGCAAAGATATGATGTATGATGCCACAGGGTCTTTTATACCAGTGTTGAGGAGTAACTTGTTGAGGAGAACAATACTACTAACTTAAAGGTGATGTATAAGCAATTACACACTTCAACTTTGAATGCCTCTTTAGTATTACAGAGTTTTATAGTGTACACTCACCTAAAGGATTATAAGTAACACCATAATAAGACAGTGTTTGACCCCCTTTCGCCTTCAGAACTGCCTTAATTCTATGTGGCGTTGATTCAACAAGGTGCTGAAAGCATTCTTTAGAAATGTTGGCCCATATTGATAGGATAGGATCTTGCAGTTGATGGAGATTTGTGGGATGCACATCCAGGGCACGAAGCTCCCGTTCCACCACATCCCAAAGATGCTCTATTGGGTTGAGATCTGGTGACTGTGGGGGCCGTTTTAGTACAGTGAACTCATTGTCATGTTCAAGAAACCAAATTGAAATGATTCAAGCTTTGTGACATGGTGCATTATCCTGCTGGAAGTAGCCATCAGAGGATGGGTACATGGTGGCCATAAAGGGATGGACATGGTCAGAAACAATGCTCAGGTAGGCCGAGGCATTTAAACAATGCCCAATTGGTACTTAGAGGCCTAAATTGTGCCATGAAAACATCCCCCACACCATTACACCACCAGCACCAGCCTACACAGTGGTAACAAGGCATGATGGATCCATGGTCTCATTCTGTTTACGCCAAATTCTGACTCTACCATCTGAATGTCTCAATAGAAATCGAGACTCATCAGACCAGGCAACATTTTTCCAGTCTTCAACTGTCCAATTTTGGTGAGCTCTAGCAAATTGTAGCCTCTTTTTCGTATAGTGGAGATGAGTGGTACCCGGTGGGGTCTTGGGACCCTTTAGGGTCTTCAGTTTAGAGTTCAGGAGATTGTCTTGACCAGGACCACACCCCTAAACGCATTGAAGCAACTGCCATGTGATTGGTTGATTAGATAATTGCATTAATGAGAAATTGAACAGGTGTTCCTAATAATCCTTTAGGTAAGTGTATATTTGATAACATTATAATATTGATGTCAACACATTGATAACCTCATTGCTCTGTGATTAAATCATTAAATGATTCAATTCTGTGATTTTTTTTTTTAGAACAAATAATCTGATTTATCTAAAATATACACTACCATTTAAAAGTTTGGGGTCAGTAATTAATAATAAATTCATACTTGTATTCAATAAGGATGCATTCAATTAATCAAAAGTGACTGTAAAGACATTTATAATGTTAAATTACTGGAGTATTATGCTGAAAATTCTGCTTTGTCATCACAGAAATAAATGACATTTTAAAATATATCAAATTTGAAAACAGTTATGTTAGGTTGTAACAATATTTCACAATATTACCTTTTCATTATTAAATAAGTGCAGCTTTAGAAAGCATAAGAGACTTCTTTCAAAGACAGTTAAAATCTTGTAATCCCAAAATGTAAATGTATAAAATACTATATATCTACAGTATGTGGTAATACTTATTTGTTTGACACCATGTCGTACGTACCGCAACTATTCTGAACTGCGATAAGCCTTCACGTGCTTGCAGAACTTGGAATTCCAACGTGTAAACTTGTAATTTTCTGAGAGCAATCACTTGTACCACATGGCCAATGCATCACCTCACCACTACAGATTTTAAGTGTGTTGTCACTTGTAGTTCGGTTCTCTTTGTTCTTTTGGCCCACACCAACAAATGAAAATGATACATTTAGTTCTGCTTCGCTTAGCATGCTGTGCAAAATGCGTGTATATTATGTAGCTGAGACTCGTGAAGAGCTTATAAAATGTGTGAAGTAGTCAAAACAGCGGCAGGAATCCCTCCGTCACACACACAAACACAGATCTGCTGCGAGGAGACGCGGTTCTGATGTCTCTACCGAACTGTGATGGGCAACATCACGACTATGACGAGAAAAAAAACAGTTATGCTTGAGCATTCTGTCCTTTTTAGGGTCGCATCTTGTGACATAAGGACATGTTTTTGGTTGGTTCACATGTCTTTGGTCCACGTTGCGTACATATTTCAGTCGAACCGCACCAGGGTTCGTCTGAAAGAATCTTTTCAGGGGTCTCGGTCCACTGGTTTTGTGCCCACCAGGGTTCAGATGGCAGCGTTCACACTTCAATCAAATGAACCGCTCTAACAGAGCGTTTGTTTTAATCGAACCAAACCTGCTAAGTGCGAACAGGTGTGTTCAAGCGCGCTGTGTAGACCGATCAAAGCAAGACTGATCAACGCAAGAGCCATTCCAGCTCTGTATTGCTCCATTTTATTTCGTTGCTCTCAGTCCTGCGCTCATCATATCATCAGTGAATATGTCGTGATACTGCCCAGCCCTCAGCCTCACAGTAGACTTCCACACTTCGAAACCGTCCTATCAGACCCAGTGATCCCGAACCCTGGTTTTATGCCAATGAAGATTTTAAGTTCCACTACGACCTCTTACAGTGTCTGATCTCTTTATTTCTGGATTCACAAGAACCCGGGCCACCAAGCCCTCTCACCACCTTTATACACCACAGATTAATCACCATTCAACATGAGTGTGTTCTTCGCTCGGTGCTTGCCCTTGTCCTTTTGTCACTGCCGTGAACCTGCACGCTGTGTTTTTAATCAAAGACCACTGTGCCAGACCCAGCACGTCCCCTCCCACCGAGCCCAGAGGATGCAGCGGAACAGTAGGGCGGCAGTAACGGATGAGCGCTAAGCCGGGGCCGGAGATATTTAAGAGGAGCTAATTGTGAGAAGTACTGGAGCACGTGGAGAGAGACCGTACGATGTGGTGTGAGCGATGCCCCGCACCCGCGGTCGGCTGGATGGCGGTGCTTCATCACTGCTTCCAGAACAGGTAATTAAGGAGCCACCTGCCGAGCTGCACCAGAGAGACCTGCTCTACCGGAGAGCTCCGCACTGGGCCCCGCGGCACGCACCTCCAATCAAAGTATATCACTCATTTTGTAAAAGTCCACCTATGCCTTTCTCTCTCTCACCTCCCTCTGTCCCAAACACTACTTTATTTATTATGACTAAATGTCATCTCAAGAGAGGCACGTATGAGGATGTGAGGGAGAGCTGGCTTTGGATTCCATGCCATCTTCACTCGTGTTATTTTACCTAGTTCACCATTCAAATTATAGTCGTCATCTTTGTTGTTCATTTTTTTCTTGCATTCTTATTTAGGAGAATGTCAGGACTGCTCTATTCCATAAAAAGAATAATGTTATTCATTGAAAATCTTGCTTAACAGCCATGGTTCACTTTCAGGGTTTGTAAAAGAGCAGCATGAATGTTCTACTATAAATGACTGATTTTCTTTTCCACACAATGACCAAAAGTCATAGGCTTCACAGACATCTTTCATCAGCTTTTATCAGCTTCACAAAGTTGATGAAAGAAGTTTCAATTGTGTTGTTTTTATTAGTGTATATTACTTTTGCTTATTTTTTAGTTCAGCACATTTAGCATTTGTTCAGACAGTCAAGTGGTATTTTAGTATCATTGACACTATAATATTATAGTTATTATTAATACACTAGTTATTAAGGTGTGTGTATATATATATATATATATATATATATATATATATACTGTGTATATATATATATATATATATAATGTATATAATTTTCATATTTTTTGTTTTTGTCATTTTTAGTAGTGAATGTTTTTAATGTATTTTTATTTATTTATTTGTTTCAATTTAAGTTATTAGTAAATCAATAAATGAAATTGAAATTAAACTAAATGAACATGAGCAATGTTTCCTTGGTTACATGCTGACATTTTTTTTTTAAGTCAAATTAAATATTTTTTTTATTGGTTCAGTTTTGTTAATGTTTCATTTATTTCAAGTAACACATATTACAACAACCCTAAGACAGGCAGAAAATATCTTGCTTTACTGTAATATAATGAAATTGGAACTCATTTAAAGTAAGTAATTTAATTTAAAACATGATATCTATCTATCTATCTATCTATCTATCTATCTATCTATCTATCTATCTATCTATCTATCTATCTATCTATCTATCTATCTATCTATCTATCTATCTATCTATCTATCTATCTATCTATCTATCTATCTATCTATCTGTCTGTCTGTCTGTCTATGTATGCAATTAAAGGTGCAGTAAGTGATTTATGAGAAAAGCTGTTGATATTTGAAATCACCAAAACAAACACACCCCTACCCAGGATCACACCCCTATCTTGATAGATCCGCCCCCAAATTCATGAACACGCTATGCAACGTTTTGGTGCAATGTTTTGGTGCTCGGTCCAACTCATTTTCAACAGGCATTCTTTTAGAAATAGCTCACTGCACCTTTAATGAATTTGGCGTTTAGTAAATCCAGAAAGTTGTACAAACCCACAGCCAAAATGCTTCATAGACTGAATCTTTGCAGAATCTATTTTTTAAGTACAAACCATTAAGTATACATACCCATCATATTCTTGCAAGCTGCAGTCTCTCAGAATGGACAGAGCCTGGCCCTTTCGCTTAGTGACTGCGGAAAAGAAAGAGTTAATTAAAAAAAAAAAAAAACAAGAAAAGGAAAGCACTCCAAACTGCCTTTAGTACCCTTTTCCAGGCATTGGCAAATGGCTTGAGCCGAACATATGGTACTGGCTGTAAAGCAGAATTTATACTTGCTGTTTGCATTTTTAATCAAGATTATGAGTTGTGGTAGAAAGAGGCAACCGCTCTTGTATTCAGCTTGACCAAGCTGCGCAAAACAAGATTTTTCCAGCATTTAATGTCGGGTTTGCTATTTAAATTACAGTACTGTGATGTAACAAGGTAAACAAAAGGGTCAGAAAAAAAGAGGGTTAGATGTGGTCAGCAGAGTTTGTTGGATATAGGCTTGATCCAGTATAATTGTCGATTCAGGTTTGGCGTAGTGTGGCAGAAACCCCTGTCCTGTGTGGCATGTGAAAATGCCACTGAATGTGGGGGAAGAGGGGTGGCATGCCGCAGATGGCATTGTGCACGCCCGTGCCCCACTTAGCATTTTCTGGGGCACCTCCGCCATGGAGCGGGTCCCAGCTGTGACCACCCATCAAAGGGCGCACCGTGGCTGATGTGACACTTGCAGATGGATGTTTATTTTTTTGTTGTTGTTGTTTGAGAATGTGCTTTATGATGCACACAGAGATGCAAGTGTGTCTGCTCATTATGACATGGCTGGCTATCCCTGGTACCAGCTCAACTACAGATGCATGTGGACAATGGGACATGCACACAAAAAATTCATATGATCATCATTTTAAATGTTTTTTTTTTCTTTCCTTTTTTTCTTTTATGTGTCTTTATGTAGGTAGGATTTTTTTTTTTTTTGAAAGAAATCTCTTATCTCTTAAAATACAATAAAACAGTAATATTTTAAAATAATATTACAATTTAAAATAACTGCTTTCTATTTAAATATATTTTAAGATGTAATTTATTCCTGCGAGGCAAAACTGAATTTTCCGCGACATTCCTCCAGTCTTCAGTGTCACATGATCCTTCAGAAATCACTCTAAATATTGATTTGCTGCTCAAGTAACATTTCCTATTATTATCAATGTTGTACACAGTTGTGCTGCTTAATATAATAGAAAACATATGACACATTTTATAGGATTTTTTGAATTGATCGCTCAAAAGTACAATATTTATTAGAAATAGTTTTCGTTTAGTAACAATGTTGAAACATTTGATCAATTGAATGTCCTTAAAAATCATTCATTTTAATTTATCCATTCATTCAATTAATTTATTATTATAGTAGTAGTAGTAGTAACAGCATCATCATGTTTGGGGTTAATGAACGTGTCGTGCAGTTATCATAAATAAAAAAATATTAATTTCCATTTTTAATATCCAATTTTGGAACAAAATCAGAGTCAAATGATGTTTTAAATAAATATTGCCACTGATATCATTTATACTCTACTCCACATATACTGCAGAAACAGAAGTACATCATTATTCCAGGCATAGACTCAACTAGTTCAATTCTTAGAGATCACCTGTAGGGGGAGCACTTGCAAATCAAAGTGTAATTAAAGGATCATGTGGCCCTGACCTTGTCAAACAAAACCACAACCCAGGCATTTTTTTTCATATCTCACAAACTGATTGAAAATTCTAGCCTGAAATTAACAAAATTAACCTTGGATTTAACAGTGCTCAAGTATAGGCTACAGAGCTGCAGTCTAAGCACATCAAATGCTAAATTAGACTCTTAAATGACCATGTAAATGCCAAAAATGGTATTTCCACATACTGTACAAGCTTATCAGTAAATAGCTGTGAATTAAACACTGTAATTACTTCTTGAACATGACATTTCACGACTGCTGCCCGTGCATCTCAGTCTATACAGATAATTCGATCATATATATTCTCAAAGCTCTGCGTTCTGAGCGGCAGAATGAGATATTTAATTTCTATTAGGTAAAATGTTGTTTAATGGCTCCACCTCGAGCTCTCAGCCTCTGCCCTCGGGAGCAAATAATCAGGAAATGGATTCTATTACTGTTCAAATGGCTTCTGGGATCATTCAGGTACCCACATTCATTGCAGCACAGATTGTGGAGTCTCCTTTCTAAAAGCAGGGGGCGCCTGGTGCGTGTCCGGGTGTGTGTGTGTGTGTGTGTGTAGTCCGCGGTTGTGTAGTGCGTATAGTACGGGGTCCTGTGTGTGTGGGAGGAGGTAAAGGGGAGGAGAGGGGGGAGTCCTGCACTGTGTTAGAACAGATGGGTGCAGTCCCTCCCCCTGGGTCAGGTTACTGACGGAGGATACACTTCTCCTGTCATTATGAGTGTGAGATGCATCTAGAACAATCCACAGCAGTGTTGTACAGCTGCTACTTCCAGTATAAGCACACACACACAAACACAACCTCAAGCACACAAATGGATATCGAAAAATTTAGGATTAAAAGAAAAGGAGAGCTTGGTTGTGAACAGCATGTACAATATTTGTGCATAAGCACAAATGCAAATTTGTATGTATTTGGTATGCATTTTATTAGTTCTTGCATTATCTGGAAATGTTTTTGTAGTTGCTCACACTACTGGTACATTAACACAGCAACACATAAAAAAGTAAAATAACTCGAAAAAATTAGCGAGGTGGCGGGCAGTGTTGGGGTAAACGATTCGAATTACAAGTAATACAAGTTACATAATCAGATTCTTTTACTAGTGACTAATTTACAACAAAATATTTGAGTTACTTTTTCAAATACGTAATGCAAGTTTGCTTTCCCATTGACTGACTGACACCTCTTCTGTCCCCATGTTAAAGGTCCCATTCTTCGTGATCCCATGTTTCAAGCTTTAGTTAGTGTGTAATGTTGTTGTTAGAGTATAAATAATATCTGTAAAATTATAAAGCTCAAAGTTCAATGCCAAGTGAGATATTTTATTTAACAGAAGTAGCCTACACCGAACGGCCAGTTTGGACTACATCCCCCTACTTCCTTCTTTAATGACGTCAGTAGAACAGTTTTTTTGACTAACGTCCGCCCACAGAAATGCTCCCTCAACTCCCTCAACTTGCGCACTTCTTATAACTTACTGAGTTTACTCAGCTCTTACGAAGCAGCAGACTTGTAGGCTATTAATAAATAATGGATACATACAATCTGAAGACAAATACGTTATAATAACCGTAATTAAACTTCTAAACTATACCTGTTCCATCTCTATACAGCACTCTTACTCTGTAGGCATTATGTCTGACTCGAAATGAACACCGTTACTGAGAGTTTCTGATATCATCATCATTTCGTGAGATTATTGTCCTGAGAGACTGAGCGCGAGCTCATTAAGCTCCGCCCCCTGTGTCGGCAGCAGCAGCTTATTTGCATTTAAAGGGCACACACTAAAACAGCGTGTTTTTCTGAGCCCCAAAAAATGACAATTTAAACATGCTGTAAAAAATGATCTGTTGGGTATTTTGAGCTGAAACTTCACATACACATTCTGGGGACATCAGAGACTTATTTTACAACTTGTGAAAGGAGGCATAATACGCCTTTACATTTACCAAATTTTTTTTGTTTTTTTTTTGTTATTAAAGCCCAGGTGAGAAAAAGTAATGCAAAAGTAACAACGCATTACTTTCCATAAAAAGTAACTAATGGAATTAGTTACATTTTTACTTTTAGTTAAGCAATATTGGAAGAATTACTTTTAAAATTAACTTTCCCCAACACTGGTGGCGGTTTAGTGTACATTTGTATGATATGACTTGAACAGAAACATTTTATTTTTAGAAAAAACGTAAGCATGAAGGTCCGCCCCTAAGTGAGGAATAAGCAGATTGTACAAAAACGTACGAATGAGATTATATGAATTAATACAAATTAAGGACCATTCACACCGTAAAATAGTCCAAAATTGCCATGAGAGTGTGTGGATTAACTGCATATTTGCTCATGCAAAGTTCGACACCGTGATGTTAGGATGCTATTACTGCATTGATATATATCGTTGGATAGGTTCTTATAGATCTATGTGGTTGCAGGGTGAAAATCCAAATCTAAAAGCATTTTTGTCCAATTTTCGAATGAATATATCTAAAATACCTTGAAACAAGATACATTTAAAAGCCACAAATTAAAAAAAAAACGTTTTCAGAGCATGTGTTTTATTGATTTTGATTTTTTTCACCCAACTTATTTCAGGTATAAACTATTTTTTAAAAATGCATTTAAATATAGTAAGAAAACTATATTCATAAAAAATAATGATTTATTCATATAGTGTTGCTTCTCAAGTAAATGAAAGTTTTGTTTCAAGGATTTTTAGAGTAAACAAAAATTGTCAGTATAGGATATTCTAATAAATATTAGTCAAATGTAATATTTTTTTCCCCCACTAAATGTTGATTTTTAGTGTAGTGCATGAGAGTTGGCAATTAAAATGGTAAACAACACTAATTTCGCTTTTAAGAGTGTATTCAAATGATGCATTAACATAGGGACCTTGACATTCCTCACCCTAAAATATTGATTTCCTATGATCCACTGCCAATGCCTAATGGCGCAAAGCACCAGCTTGTTAGCATATAGGGAATTGTCGAGCACTGAGTGATGAATCCTATGAGCGAACACACCCTGAGGGCAGACGCTAATGCACTTCGACCTCGAGTGAGGCCTGAGGGGGCGGGGATCACCTGTGCGTGAAGACTTTAAGCTGAACCTGAGAGGAAAAGCCACCCATGTAACCCACGTTTGCTATCCCACACAGTGCAGATGTGCGAGACTTACCGGTGACGTTGGTTTCTATGTCAGCGAGCTTGAAGAGCGGGGCCACTTTGTCCAGGTAGATCTGGTACGCCTCTTTCTTGTGGCTGATGGGGTTCACAAAGACTTTGAGAGATTTAGGGCGGTTCTTGAAACCTGCAAGAGGAAAATAAAACAAAAGAAACAAAGAGCGGGAAGATTCATCAATCCCCTTGTGTCATGAATCCCATGGGCATTCTTTTAAGTGCTTGAAACTCATCCAGTTTAGAGAAGTGCACATCTGCTAATGTGAGCCAAAGCCCCTGTCCTTCATAATAATGATTTCTTGCCGTGAGTTCAGCTTTTGTCTGCCACCCTTGCTGCAGAATGGCTCTCACACAGCGTGAGTTCAGTCTTCAAAAATTGAAAAGGTCAGATCAGTGTCTGTTGTTTACAGTGTCTGAATATCTGCCAAGAATGAGGAGAAGGCTTGAATAAATACACCATGGAGGCTTTGTTGCTTAAAAAACATTGTCTTATTAATATCAATGTTGAAATAGTTATACTGCTTTATATTTTTGGAAAAACTGTGAAACTTTTTTTCAGGATTCTTGGATGAATAGAAAGTTCAAAAGAACAGCATGCACTCTAAAAATACTGGGTTGTTTTAACCCAATTGTGGGAAAACCCAACAATTGGGTTACATTTTTAAATTCAATTTTTAACCCAATGTTTGAATTCGTCCATATTTGACCCAAAATTGGGTTGAAACAACCCAGCATTTTTTAGAGTGTGTATTTGAAATAGAATCGTTTGTAAGCGTATGTCTTTCCCTTCACTTTTTACTAATTTAATCCATCCTTACTGAATATAAGTAATCATTTATTTAAAAAAAAAAATCAAACTGGCCCCAAACTAGCGTATATGTATCATTGGTATCAAATCTCTCCTCCCCATCACTCTTTCTAACCGTCTCTATATGTCCTTCTTTGCGGTATTGAGTAACAATGGATCATAATTAGCAGAAATTAGGGAGCTGCTTGCTCTTCTTGACTTCCTGGAGTGCCTGAGATCGATGGAAGCTGAGGTGAAGCTCAACACTCTCTCTCCTCGCTCCACCATCTCCCTCATTACTCTAATTCGGCCCCTGAAGCTCTCGACCCTCGACCTGCTAACAAGCCGCTACCCTCGGCTTGCCCTCCGCCGTACCCCCTGCTGACATCACAGCGCAAGAGTTCCAGGGGGTGCCCAAGGTCACAGTTCAAATAGACACAAAACCTGCGCGCAAGTAGATGCAGGAAGTGAGGTGGGGAGGCTGGGGGGATTTGGGATCTTGAAAGAAGATTGCGAGTCTCGCTCAGCGTGGGGATGCTGATCCAATCTCCCACTACGTGGCTCTTGGGGGCCGCAGTGCCGGGACGCTGGGGTCCTTGCGGGGAGCAGGTGCAGGGGGGCGGCACCAGCACTGCTGTTATAGCTGTGAATGGGGCTCAGGAGGCTCAGCAACACTCATCCTCACCGAGGGGGCTTCAGGCCCACCGCACGACACATGAAAGCAGCGTTGTGAGGCTACGCTCATCTATTGCATCAGATTTAGTGTGCATATTTGCGTCACTGCACTACGCTATCTCCTTTTGGTTTCTGGTTTGCCCAAAATACCCTAGCATTGTTCCAAAACCATGTGTGCTACCAATACAGACAGCCTTATATCATAGTTGTGAGGAAATAGCTGTACTAAAAGGTAGGTAGCATAACTATACTGATTTCTATGATGCAAAATTCATACCTCATATAATGTACTGTATACTTGTCACGATTCCTGTCTTGTGTTTTCCTTGGCTTGTGTGGACTTTAGTTATTTCCTGTTTCTGTGCCATGTTTTGTAGTCCTTTGTAGTTTTTCTTGTTTATAAGTTTCCCCAGGTGTTCTGGTTTACCACGCCCCCTTGTTACCTCGTTTAGCTTGTTTGTCTGTGTATTTAAACCCCTGTTTCAGTTGTTGGGTGTCGGTCGATGTTTCACTGTAGCGTTGTTTCTAGTTCTGAGTCTAGTTCTGAGCAGTGTTGTAGTCGAGACCACCTCACTCGAGTCCGAGTCGACACCGAGACCAGAGAGAGTCGAGTCCGAGTCAAGACCGAATCCTTAGAGAGTCGAGTCCGAGACCAGAGACGGTCGAGTCCGAGTCGAGACCGAGACCAGTGAGGGTTGATTACCTAATTTACTTTTATTTACTTAGAGAAATCCTTTTTTTTTTTTTTTACTGAATTTACTTAGTTTAAAAAATATGATCAGTTTAGGGTAAAAAGGCCACATAGTAAGTGGGTTAAAAAGTAATTTTATTACAATTTCTCATGCGCAGTTGCACACTAGAAAATCACCAATCACTGGGCGTGTCAATCAATTTAAAGAAATATTTTATTAACATACATTAATAATTATGAAAGATATTTTTAATTGAACTCGAGTGGACTCGGGAATAATTCCGAGTCCTAAAAAAAAAATGTTTCGAGTACGAGTCAATTCCGAGTCCAAATGGACACGAGTCCATGACAAGACCAAGACCATTAAAATATGGTCTCGAGACCGAGTCCGAGTCTCGAGTACTACAACACTGGTTCTGAGTCTAGTTCTGAGTCTAGTTCTGAGTTCTTGTTTCTGAGTTTTGTTCTGAGTTACTGTTTGTAAGTTTCTTTGGTTTCTGTGGATTTCCCTTTTGTTTGTCTATTATCTTTATTAAACCATTGTGCTTTCATTTGGATTCCTCCTTGCCTCCTCATCGTTACAATACTAGAGACGGCAATACCAAAATGCACTGCAACAAGCTCAGTAAAAAGATATCTAACAAAAAAAGCAAGAAAAAATGTTTACCATAGATGCATATACAGTAGTCCACATTTGAAGTGGATCAAAAAAGTCCATCAAAGTTGTCATTTAAGACAAGAAACGTTTTAATCCACTTCAAATGTTGACTACTAGCCTATATTTATTACTACATCCAATTTATTAGAGTTTGTCATTAGTTTATTTTTACAGTGTTAGTTCAGCAATATGCTAATGGCAAAAATTGTTCCAAAAAGGCTACTTGGATGTCTTATGTCTTAGAAGGTAGCTGCTTATGTTCCTATTCAGAGAGACAGCTCACCAGGTTTTGGAACAAAGCCCTCATCTCTCATTAAATCAATACTCTGAAATGTGAAACTATGTTTCTGTTGTTTAAATGATCATATCTGAGCTGTTGTTCAGGATAAATCTAAACACCACAGAGGGGAGACTGAGGACGTAGCCTGCTGCTTGCATGCACGACACCGTGTTACTATGGCACATAATCCTATGTTTGTGTGAGCGATGCACTGTGGCTCCCAGGAGCTCACTGAAAGACAATCCAGACGAAGGGGCCACACTCAGGTTTCATCTCCATGAGCCAGCCCTGTTTGTGTTCCCGCAAAAGGCCACTGTGATTAGCAGACTTCAGAGAACCTGCGTTCACACGTTAAGCATTTGGGGTTAGCAGGCAACTCATCTAAATATTGTGTCCTATGTCGTTAATCACTTTTGTAGTCTGTTTTAAGATAAAGTTGTAAGCCATTTATTCATATTTTTTACTTAAAAATCTGTTTAGAACATGTATTTGACTAACAAAAAATAATTAATAATAATAATAAATATGAATATTTTTATGACCATTTTAGGTAATATATTTATTATTACAGTAAAGTAATCGTAAGTAGCTTGCCATATACAGTATATATATATATATGTATATATATATATATATATATATATATATATATATATATATACGGTGTGTGTATATATTTCTGTATTGAACAGTATATGTTCATATTGAACAAATCTGATATATATATATATATATATATATATATATATATATATATATATATATATATATATATATATATATATATATATATATATAAAATGCATTTGTGCAGTTCAGATTTGTTCAATGTGACCTGGATGAAATATGACCCTGGATGTTTTTGTGACATTCACCCACATGCCCTTTATGTGAACAGGTTGTTTCTGTTTGCCCTCTCAATAGCTTTGAAGTGACGTCCGCATTTCAGACACATGTACCTGCCACCTGTGGACATTCCATGAGGTCAGCATTTACTACAGCGATGCAGCCGCCCTGTGACTCAGAGGCTTAGGCTTCTACCCCTGAGGGCTATCAAGACCGGCTAATGTCACCCAACACAGCGGCTACATCTGTCTCTGTCCAGCCCCCATCTCAGGGCACAGAGGGTGCTGATGGGAAAGGTAAGGAGCATCTGAATGGTGTGGCTAAGGGTCTCCCTGTGGAGAAGATGATTCGGCACAGGGGAGCACTTTTCCCATAATCAGGGGTAAATTACCTGAGAGGGGTCAGGTTACACATTGATTTCAGAGACAAACAAAGCGCCAGGACAGCCCGTAAACACTCGCTCACTGCGCTCATGAGAGGACTGACCATGCAGTACATTGTTTGATCACAAAGCATCAATGCCTCATTTTACAGTGCAGCGTTATTTTGTGATCGTGAAGTAATTCTGTTGTCAGGGTTATGCGCCCATCTTATTCTTGAATCTGAATGAAGGTAATTCAGTTTTAAATTTACAGTAAGATCAGTTGAAATCCAAAGATATTCATAACTGTGATTTTAACAACAAAAAAAGCAAAGTTCATCAAGATAAACTTTGGATATTAGATTGACAAACCCTTTCGAAAGTTTTAAAAACATATGTTTAGAAATGCCTTTCAGATGGACGGGCGGATGGATGTATGATAGACAGGCAGACAAACAGACAGATTATATGGATGGATGGATGGATGATAGAGAGACGGATGGATGGATGGATGGATGGATGGATGGATGGATGGATGGATGGATGGATGGATGGATGGATGGATGGATGGATAGATAGATAGATAGATAGATAGATAGATAGATAGATAGATAGATAGATAGATAGATAGATAGATAGATAGATAGATAGATAGATAGATAGATAGATAGATAGATGGATGGATGGATGGATGGATGGATGGATGGATGATGGAGAGACGGACGGATGGATGGATGGATGGATGATAGACAGACAGACAGACAGACAGACAGATAGACAGTCAGGCAGATAGATAGACAGTCAGATAGATAGATAGATAGATAGATAGATAGATAGATAGATAGATAGATAGATAGATAGATAGATAGATAGATAGATAGATAGATAGATAGATAGATAGATAGATAGATAGATAGATAGATAGATAGATAGATAGATAGATAGATAGATAGATGGATGGATGGATGGATGGATGGATGGATGATAGAGAGACGGACGGATGGATGGATGGATGGATGATAGACAGACAGACAGACAGACAGTCAGGCAGATAAATAGACAGACACAGACAGGCAGGCAGGCAGGCAGGCAGGCAGGCACAGACAGACAGACAGACAGACAGACAGACAGACAGACAGACAGACAGACAGACAGACAGACAGACAGATAGACAGATAGATAGATAGATAGATAGATAGATAGATAGATAGATAGATAGATAGATAGATAGATAGATAGATAGATAGATAGATAGATAGATAGATAGATAGATAGATAGATAGATAGATAGATAGATAGATAGATAGAAAAAATGAAAATTGTTGAAATTGAAATTGAAAAAAAAAAATGTTTTGTACAATAAGAGTGTGTTGACTTGGCCAAGCCCCTTGAAATAGACAAATAGAGGAAAATACAGTCAACGTGCATAACACAGTCATCAAACTGCACTTAAGTAACCCATAGACTGTTCCACTCGCTGAGCCCACAATACCCAAACGGGCTTTCTGGGGTGCACAGAATATTTGCTAATCCTCAAGAACAGATGTCTTATTTTTTGCCCTGAAATCCCTGGCTGGCGAGGGGAGTGAGCCCTCCAACGGATAAGCCTAGATTGGGGCCTTGCAGTGGGAAAGGTCAGGATCGGAGAGGAGCTGGATCCGGCAGGCCCGAGGGGAGGTAAGCGATCTGGGGGCCATACAGGAGATGGAGCGGGTGAGAGAAAAAGAGCGTCACTGTCCTGTGCCACTTTCCTACTGGCCGTGAGATCTCCATACGGGGGACGAGTGCTTCGACATTTCCTTAGATCCTCTGCCAAGAGCGGAGCATCTGGCATGGTGTCAGGGACTGGCATTAGCGCGCATTAGCAGTGGGGGAGACCCAGCCCTCTCCATATTTGTCCCCTCCAGCAGGGGCATCACCAGGCAGGAGCTGCTCCAACCGCTAGACGAGGTGGGGAACTGCGGTGGAGGTTTGGGCTTTAAATCAATACACTTGCTTTCATTGGAGCAATTAATTCACACAGCCGCCATATAATGAGAAAAACCGCGTAGAGGCTCGGAGAATAAAATTAAGTGTGTAATGCATCCTATTAATTATTCCATGTTAAAATGTGGAACGCACATGCATATTGTTCGATTAGAGCCATTGTAGTTCTCGGTGTGGACAGTAACACCTTCCCTAATATTAGCCAGAGAGGGGGAAAAACAGCACCATGTGTTAGGTGCCTCCATTATGTCTGCGTACATGTCTATCTATCCGGGGGCGGGTGTGACAGACAGAGAAATGGGGAAGATCCGATGGGAATAAGCCGAAAAAATCCACAAGCAGCACTTGGTGAAAGTGATACTGCAGTCGTACCTACAGCAGAGTCCACCGGAGCATCTGTCCATCTTGAGATGTTCCAACAGAGCCCCATATATATTTCACGGTGCCGTTTAAGGGTGGGAATCTTTAGGCACCACAAGATTTGATTTGCTTTCGAAACTTTCAGAAAAAATGAGCAAACATTTTACCTTTAGGGTTCTAACAGCTTGTCACTGGAGTAGCACCCTTAATGGGACATCTGTGTATCTTATTTACCCCTAAAAGTTTCTAGTAGTACTTTAAGGGTACATGTTACAACTCTAAGGTATGAATATACACCTTTAGGTACTGTCCACGTGATAGGCTGTTGTACTTCTTTTTTGTTGTACTTTTTTATGTTGTTTCAGGGATTTTTAAACATTAAGTCTAAATAAGACTAAAGTGCTCATTGAGGATGGGATTTTATGCAACACTAGCTGCATTTACATGGACCCTTATAATCGGATTGACGCTAAATCAAAGTAAAAAGTAAACACCTTAATCGATCCGATTGAGCTCGATCCGACTACAATTTCGATGGGATTGAAAGGGGTGGTTTACTCCTTTTGTAATCCGACCGAGAGAACTTGTAAACACTTGATCGGATTGAAAACCGAAACTAAAAGGACTGCGCATGTGCAATGACGTTGAAATAGCGTAATGACGTATGACGCACGGAACGAGCTGTTCTTCCTGTTGAATAAAGTGTCATTTAAATGAGTGTTCCGTTATTAAAAAAATCTAATTTCACTCAGTGTTTGTGAAGTGAAGCAGGACAACGTCCCACCAGTGCTTGTTTTAGATTCTCATCCACACGACTTTTAAGCAAATATAAGCAGAACGGCAAAACGGTTCATGCTCATCGTCTCCAAATCATGACGGATAAATATTAAAACAAATAAAGAACCAATTGAGGAGAAGAGTTATGCGCGAACAGTGGAATATTTGTGCAGTGTGCGCATGTCAAAAAATCTAATTTGAATCTTGTGACATAAACGTGCATATCAACCCGATCACTTTATTTATCATTCATGTAAATACCTTAATCGGATTTATCAATTGTATTGATTTCGTTCCAATTGTGTCCATGTAAACGTAGCTACTGTCAATTAGGATTTTGTTTTCTGTAGTCGTGCATGATAATCAACTTTTAAGTGAAGCCTTACACTGATTTTCTATATTAAACATAATTATTAAAGGTGAAGAGTGTCATTTTTTTATGCCACTACTGGTACCAAATGGAATTGCAGTCTCTTTGAGCTTCCAGATTATGCCTGAAATAACAGTAATTTTGAGCTGTAAATCAACTTGTCTGAACAATGTAAGGGGATATATTAGAAATGGGCATGCTTGTGCCCTAAATATTATAAACTTAAGTTTTAATATAAATTGTGATTTTATGAAGTTTTGTTGCTAATTAGAAATAAAGTGTTTCGTACGAAGAAAATCATACGAGTTTGGAAAAATGACATTTTTAAGTGAACTATTCCTTTAACTCGTTCACTGAAGACTTACAACTCTTTTTATTATTTTTTTTATTTTATGTGAAACAGTATTATACCCTACGTTAACAGGCATATACACAGAGTTTGGACTAGCCAGAAAACATCCCAGCTAAAGTAAGAGCACTCCAGTCAATAAGATACACAGACTGATCCGTTTCCAAGGAGCCAAGGGGAAAGAGTCACCATGGATACGCAGGTTGACTTAATGGAAAACCTGTTAATGTGTAACATTATCCACTCGGCTATCGAGCTATTGTACATCAACTCATGTAAATGCCGCGCAAGCTCAGCCAAAGGCTCAGCTTCCTTCAAATGTCGAACGCATTCTTAAAATCGCGTTCCGAGGGAGATTTCGCTTTCCCTATTATCTTGTTAAACAACTCAAAGCAATTTCATGCACGGCGCACAATAGCAACTGTTGTGCTTTATGCCAAATGCACATATGAATTCAGATGGGTCACAAAAGCCTTTGGAGGAATGAGATGGACCCGGTGCTTGACCCTTGAGTTCTCTCCTCTCTCTGTTTGTCTTTTCTCCTCCCTTTAGGTCTACAACAATAAAGTCCAGCTTGACGCAGGAGTGTGACCACATGCTTTGACAAGAGCACCAAGAGCACATTATGTGTCCGGAGTGGAGCGCCGAGGGCTTCCCGGGCTCTGATTGACCTGCCTAGGCTAATCTTTCAAAAGAGGGTTTAAGGACACAAGGAGTCTATTCCAGTTCAACTCGACGACTACATTGGACCCAAGTAGACTGTAGTACAGGTGCTACTATTGTTGCCGGTCGTATCCCCGCACGTTTGGTCTGTGGCCTGGCCCGACCGCTCGCTCTCTGACCACAAGGTTTAATCTGTCAGCTGGGCGGCCGCACCTCATGTGTCAGCGCACATCACATGGCTTGTCAGAAAAACACGCCGATGCTGCGTATGGCATTCAGAGCTCACCTTGAATAAAATGGAGGTCTGGGGGCTTTTTTTTACCGAACCGTTCACCTTTTGTGCTGAGTGTCAGCTGGGACACACCCTCCATTGTGCCGCCTCCCTGGGAAACACCACGCCGGGATACGCTGGGCTGCTGTAACAGGTGAGCACCCCTGTAATCCAGCGTGCCCGTTCTCATCCCCCGAGCCAATGATTCGGCAGCGCGGCCAATAAAAAAACAGAGATAATCCACCTATGGAAAACATGCGTCCGTGTGCGTGTGAGAGCATGTGCGTGCGATGCAGGGGGGTGGGGTGGACATTTCCACAAGCACCAAACACACTGTCATGCTTTATTAACAACTGTAAGAGTTTGGGAAGGTTAAATATAGCAGGTGATCATGAACAGTGACGTGGAAGCTCATGTAGCACATGATAACTGTGCTGCTGTTTATCATAACTTGCATGAGAAGGTCATGAAGGGCCCTATTCAATGATTGTATATATATATATATATATATATATATATATATATAATATATAACATAGGAGATAGTATGTACTGAAATAAGGACAAACTGATTCATAACTGTAAAAACAAACACTAGTTACACTGCAAAACTGATGGTCTCATTATTTTAGAAAAACTCACCTAATATTTTGGAGTGATTTCTTCATACTGTTGCTCTGGAGTTTATATATTTTTTTCATTCATATCAGATTTACTGTTGAAATCATATATAGTATACTAACATTATATTCTTACTATTTCTGCCAATGCTATTGTTAATGTGCTATTTGGAAAAGTATACTTTGCTAATGTGCTATTCAGAGTAGCGTAGATCTTTAAATGGTAGAAAAGGTAAGAGTAGAACGCTATCGTGATCCGTTTGTCATCTGACCAATGGCAATCTGTTTTTTTTTACTACTTTTAAACTACATCATCACTAAAACAGCTTTAAACGTTGTTTTCAATTAACCCTCATCAAGCTAAAAAATATTTTGTGATAATGCAAGTTTTAATACTTTTGTCATTCTGTGTTGGTTATGCTAGGATTGCTAAAATTACATCAGGTGCATTAATTATTCAGTACAAACCTGTTTATTATTTGATCTACACTGCCAAATCCTGATCTAATCTTCTAGATGAAAAATATAAAAATTCTTAAATTTACTTCCTAAGTAACATTCAATTAATAAGATGAGTTTTCAGAGAATGCAATTTGGATAAAGTGTTTTCAACCTGATTTTAAGATATAAATACAAAATCCAGTGAGTAAGTCTTACTGTAATTTCTTGAGCAGTGGTAATTGTATCTTATTTTATATATATTTAAAGAAGTTTTAGATATATTTACTGAAATTTAATTCCATTTAGAAGTCATCTGTAAAGTGTGGCTACATTTTTAGGTGTATGAATGTCTGTATCGCTATAAAAAATTATAATCCTTTCAGAAGAAAATGTACATCACAAACATTAGGTCATTAAGCTGGAAGACATGATGAAACTTTACACAGACAGGGTCTGTAATGTCATGCCAAAACATATAATGTTTAAATCTTCTGGTATACTCTTGTAACAGTATATATTAATGGACTTGGAATGTCTCAATGTAATTCCACTGTATGACACCACAATGAATCTTGTCTTTGTGTATTAATTTTTCTCCTCACAGCACTAAATAAGCATGTCCTCTCTCCCCAGGCTCCCTCAAGGCATATTCTTTAATTATGTTAATTAATTCATGTTCTGCCCAAAGTACATGCAGTCCTCACTCACAATTACCCGCAAAAAGCCAGCATTTCAATCTTTAAAGGGCTACAGCTCAGAAACTCTTTCGTGTGAAGAAGTTGTATGGCCAAAAAGATTCACTGAGGTGGGGGAAGGGCTTGATAGTATAAAGTTGTGAGGCCTGGACAATCCCCTCCCTAATTCCCAGTGAGTAATGCACCTCCTGAGCACTGCTGTTACATCACCTCTTATTCAGTGCTGTAACTGAAATTCCAGGGATTAGCTGGTGTTAATACAGCATTATGACTAGGCCCTGACTCGGACAAAAACACTTTCCAGAGATTTCCCCCTTACCATTATCTAGTCCTAAACTCCCATCCCATATCCAATCCAGTTTTAAATATAGCCTACATGTACCGTGTTCAGTATTTATGTGGGGCGCACAAAGAAGGATTTCTGAAATTGAACTTTCAGCCTAAATGTGAGGCTAGATTATTTCAGTGCTGCATTCTCTGCAGACCGGGATTAACAGAGATTATGCACATTTTCACAAAGGCAGCGTCTGAATGCTCAACGCTCATTTAGCCGACGAAGGAAGTTTCTAGAATTGCTTATGAAAGAAGAAACCATTTTGTTGGTCCTCGGGAGAGTCTTAGACATCCCCCACTATTAAATCTCCTCCTTGCGTCCCTCCCCCAGTTTTTTCGGGAACCGGAGAATGAAGAGTTCTGACGCATTTGGAAGGACACCTGTCTCCCGTGCAGCACAGCGATCGCTAGGCAGGCCGCTGGCCTGTCTTGGCAGTGAACGCTAGTGAGAGAAGCACAGATAATTACAAACTCCAGGGAGGCCGTAGGACCAACCTGTTCCTCCAGTCTGATCCAGCAGGTCCTTGCGGCCAACACCACCCTTTTTCAAGACCCCCTCCGACCCCCCTACCATCAGGCACACCACATAATGATTTGGTCATCACACAAAGGAGATGGTGCCCCTCGGTTCTCTCAACAAGCGTACCTTATAATCCAGTTCGTGGAGTTTATTCATGACTTTGTTTTGTGCAGCCAGGATGTTGTTGACACAGCTAAAACGTCATATTGTAGATCTGATGCATACTTGAGAGATCATTTAATTATGATACAAAGGCTCTGTTCCAAAAACTTAGTGATCTACCTTGCTGTCTTCTTAGGTAGCATTCTGATTGAAATAGAACGATCAACATAGGCAGCCCAATGAGTTATACGAATAGTCTATCATTTTGACTGACAACTGATAGAGTTTTATTCCTGTGATGCAAAGCTGAATTTTCAGAATCATTACTTCAGTCTTCAGTGTCACATGATCCTTCAGAAATCATTCTGTTATGCTGATTTGGTGCTCAAGACATTTATTATTATTAGGGCCGTCAAACGATTAATCGCGATTAATCGCATTCAAAATAAAAGTTTGTGTTTACATAATATATGTGGGTGCACTGTGTATAATTATTTTATATATATATAAATACACACATTCTTGTATATATTTAAGAAATATTTTCATGTGTATACTGTATATAGATTTATATATAGTTTATATTATATATATAAAAATAAATATTTTATATATAAATAATATTTTTTTCTTAAATATACATGCATGTGTGTGTGTTTATATATAACAAAATAATTATACACACTGCACCCACATATATTATGTAAACACAAACGTTTATTTTGGATGCGATTAATCGCGATTAATCGTTTGACAGCCCTAATTATTATTATCAATTTTGAAAACATTATTATTTTAAATATTAAAAGTAATATTTTAGGTAACACTTTATTTTAAGGTGACATAACAGTAAATTATGCATAATTACAAGAAACTAACACCAAACCAAACTCTACATTACTTACAGTGTTCTTACCTAGAAAGTACTGGCTAATATAAGGTAAGTACATTGAACAGGGGTAGGTTTAGGGGTAGGTTCAGGGTTAGTACTAGTTATTACCCAGTAATTGTAGTTACTAAAATAAGAACGTAGTATTTACATGGATAACTGGACTGTAAAAGGAAGCGTTACCAGTACATGGAGTTAATATTACTCAGTACCATTTGAGTAAGTGCAATGTAACTGTCGCCTTAAAATAAAGCGTAACTATATTTTATTAATATATTCATATTTTAGGAAATTGTTCAGGATTCTTTGATGAATAGAAAGTCCAAAAGAACAGCATTTATTTGAAATAGATTTGTTTCTCTATATAACCATGTACAAGTTTTGACCAATTGAATGCATCATTGCTAATAATAATACTAATAATAATAACACATATTACTTTCTTTAAAAAAAATCTTACTGACCCCAAAGTTTTGAGCAGTAGTGTACACAGCACACAAAATATTTTGGGTAAAATGGTTCTTGTAAGTATTTGTGTAAAAAAGGCTCAGATTTACTAGTGAATTGTTTGATATTTAGAGGTGAATTGTGAGTTTAACTTAGTTTTCAGATTTGTTGTATTAGTAAACTTTCTAGCTTATTACATTGGTAAACTTTCTAGGCTATTATTGGTAAACTTTTAAGTATGTTGAATAGGTAGATTTTCTATTCTACTGTATTAGTATGCTTTCTAGTTTGTTCCATTATTGACTCCTTGTACAAAAGGATTGCTGCGTGACTTGCTGCAAGTCTGGAGACTCATGGTATACTTCATAGCTCTGTTTAATTTGTTTGTTGTAATCTTCATAGGACTCTAAGATCTGAGCTAGTAAGACTACAGTGCTCAATATCGGAGAACCTTTGATAACGATTCTTAGCTGTTCTAACTAGACAAAGCTCCCAGCTCTTCAACCCATCTAAACCAGAATAGATTAAGTTTCTACTTTAGAAGTTTTTATACAATCTTATGTGCTGCCATAATTATGCCACCTACATCTTAAAGAGCGCACTTAAAATGCTACACTCACTAAGTTCAGGAACAGAGTAATTGTGTCGAATCCATTACCGAGTTGAGCAGTCTTTATTCAATAAATGTCAGCAAACACAATAAAATATAAAATGAAGCAAATGTTGACCAGGTTAATGTTTGCATGTCATAAATGTACGTCATAAAATTCAGTGAGGCTCCAAGATAAAATGATTCTAAAATGCCTAATGCTTGATATGTGATTTTTTTTTCAGTGTCAGGATGTTCAACTGTTCTGATGAGGGAACGTACCGCTGAGGATCTCTTTAAGGCTTTTGAACCAAGTCTCACAGTGGTCCACGCTCATGTTGTTGAAGTGGATGGCATGGTCCTTTAGTTTGAGCCCTTTCTTCTTGCACTGAAAGAGTGTGATGCCCAGCAGAGTTCCACCCGACTGCTGCCCGACGGAGCGTCTCCGCTTCACCTTCACAGCAAACACATCCTTTAGCTCCACACACTCCTCCTGCTTCTTCACATTACGGTCAGCTAAAGCAAACACACAAAAGACATTGATGTAATGTAATGTGTTTTTTTAAATGCCAAAACATTCGTTTTTTGTCATATCATTTGACCCCACAACAGTAATAAAACGTCTTGTTTAATTGAAAGACTGTAAGATGTAAAGGCCAGTGTGAATTGAGGTTCATTACTTTTCTGTGCTTATTCAAATGCTGTGGATTTGCATTCATAATACAACATGACTTTTTTTTTTTTTAGTTTTTTCCTCTTTTTTGATTACAAAGAAACTGCACTTGTAAATTATTAGCATTTAAAGGTATATTTCTCCCAAAATATGAAAATTTTGTCATCATTTACCCACTCTTTTGTAGTTCCAAACCTACGGAGCCCCACAAAAACGTTTGCGTTCCCCTGAGAAACTGTACTTTTGCTTCAAAGAACTCAAATTTTCATACGGAAACGCAAGCATCTCGTTTTTTTTTTTTTTTTCTTCTTCCGACCACCATTGTCCCTTTACGGGCTCCATACAAACCTGTATAAAATTACCTGTGTAAAACCATTCAAAATTTGGGTGGTCAGAAAGAAGCCTCTAAAGGTGCTATATGTAACTTTTCTTCTAAAAAATTAATCCTTTTTTATTGCCTGTGTGTGAAGGGGTTGTAATCACACATGACAATGATCCATTTGTCGGGTTCTGCTGTTACCTCTGAAGGCCAGTATTCCTATTTCTATGTGAAGTCTCCGGGTCGGATTTTCTGCGAAATCCATCGGATGTGACGTGCATGCGCGTTCTCGAGCCTCTCTTATTTTTATATACAGTCTATTCGACGGCACTGCAGCGAACGAAATGAGTCTGAAAACGACCTGAATCCAGCACAACACACTCCAACACAAACTCCACATAAATATAAAAAACAAAATTGACAGGCCAAACGTAAATCGGATCGACTTAGGATGAAAAAACGGATCAACATCGGCAGAGCGTTTGAATTATGGAGAGACCTCCGCTATTTTTATTGGGATAAATTACAAGTTTTCAGATATGCTGAAATAATGGTAAACTAATCAAATAGTAAGATAAATACCAAACCCTAACCGTAACATATATGAGGCATGAAATGAACACAAAAGACTGTTCCAGGATAACAAAAAGTAAGTGCTTTAGGATTTTATGTACTTGGATCTACTGTCATCACTCATCCCATCCCACTACTATCATATTGTTAATACACATTTCCAGACACGTTCAGTACTGTAATGTTACTTCCTACGATCTTACTGTTACACTGAAATTATTCAGTCTAGTCCACTAACCGTTTTCGATATCATATTATACATTCCCCTATGATGACATTGCTGATTGTGAAAGATACACGAATAGTAAGTGAAATGCCTTATGCTAGATAACACCACAAATGTAACGTTATCATGATATGATGAGCATTAGTTCAACGTCAAGCTGATAAAAGTAGCCTATTATTGTAACGTTGCAGTGGGAGTTGTGTGATGCTTTCTCCTGTGTGTTAAAAGTCTCAGTGTGGCCGTGTACCATGAGTGTTCGCTCTTGTGTTCAAGCACGCGCAAAAATTGTAAAAAATTGGTTGCAATCTGAAACATCACAGATAGAGGCCGCTAAAAAATACATATAGCACCTTTAAGGCTGCATTTATTTGATTAAAAATTCAGTGAAACATTATACAAAACAGAAATATTGTATAATACAGTAAAAACATTTTCTATTTTAATTTCTATTCCATTTTCTATTTCTATTTTATGTATCATTCTAATTTGCTGATTTGATGCTCAAGAAACATTTCTCATTATCAATGTTGAAAACAGTTGAGCTGCTTAATATTTTTGTAGAAACCATGCTATCAGGATTCTCTGATAAAGTTTAAAATAGTTTTAAAATAGAATCTTCTGTAACAATGTAAAAGCCTTTAATGTCACTTTTTATCAATTTATTGTGTCCTTTTCTTGTTGAATTAAAGTATTCATTTCGTTCAACAACAAAAATCTTACTGACCCCAAACTGTTTTTGCCCATCGTATAAAAGTCAATGGGGTCCAAAACAATATCAGGACCCTTTGAAATTCATTGTATGGATAAAAATATATTTATATTTAATATTTTATATATATATATATAAGTGAAATTACTGAACTTAAATATACAAGTTTGATAAAAATCATCATCAAAGAAGAAAATTTTAAATGGCATTTAGAGGCTTTTGCATCTGAACTCTTCATATATTGTTTTGTGTGTGTGTTTTACAGAAGAAGGAATTGCATAAAAATGTGGACTAACATAATGATGATTAACTGAGAATGATTTTTTTTTTTAACTATCCCTTCTATGAAAACTAAAACAACGAAATGAAGTTTTAATGGGTGAGAATTCAGTCTTTTATCAGCGCTGCACTTGATACCCCAGCGTTACAATGGGCTGTGAGTATCCTGTTCTCTCCTGACCCCCCGCTGTAAATGATTACCCACAGGCAAACTCCAATTAAACGGCACTGAAATCTGTCGCAGAGCCGTAAGATGGACCGAGTTCTGTAGCTGTCTCCCTAAATGACAGTCTCTCTCCTCGTGTGAAAGCTTTTCTTCATTAGGAGCACCCCGAGCCGCACCTCCACGTTTCAGAACATTAACTACCCTCTCACATTACTGCGCAAGACACCAGCCGCCATCTGTTCCTACTCAGGCCTCTGCTCGAACCTCTCTATACCTACCCCACTCTATTTATTTAACACCGGAGATTCGTTTCATTGTGGTCACTCTACAAAACCCTGAGTCAATTGAATTAGTGGGAATAGGAGATAATCTCTCCCGACAGAGCTTTCCTTGAGCCAGGGCAAACGACAAAGTGGCCCGTGTTAACGGCTGTGTACAGGAACCTGCCTCCGAGAGAGTGAGGGGCGGTCCTGAAGGGTGTAGAGGGAGAACGGGACGAGGCCGAAAGGGGGGGCTTCTCCTCTGCTACATTACAGTATAAGCCGGTCCCCTGTCTGAATCAATCTTGGCACATCTGCGTGATGCCGACCGTAAACAGGATTAAAGAAGGACTTATCTGCTTGATACTAATTGTGTTGCAGTTTTTGCACATGTCCACCCTTTTTAATAAAGAGACTCCAAATGCTGCTGTTCAACTGCCCTTTTCAGGCCAGGGTTGTCAGCATGTGCACAGCGCTAGTCGTGTTGGTCCAATAGTACCCAATTAGTCCCCCCAATTAAGAAAAGGAAAATTGAGTTTAAATGAGCTGCCCGCTAAGTAGAAGCAATGAGATGTCGATTGAGATATACTCCTGGTAAAGCATGAGACTGATAGTGTTTCCTGCTGATCTGCTCTAAAACAGGCCACACAATTGGAACTTTACTTTTTGCTAATACTGTGCTCTCTCTATTTTTGGGAGACCATAAATTCTTGCTTACACAAACTTTTTTTTTTCTTATCTCTATTGTATTTTAGCCACTTTACAGCTCCACACTTGCTAATCTATTTTTAAGGGAATAATGATGCAACTTTAAAAACTGCATTAAAATTGGCAGCAAAATTAATCTCTTGACGTGGCTTTGCTGATGCAATTAGAAAGCTAACGCAAGTATTAGAAAGCTGACGTAAGTTAAAAGTATGCTAGAAAGAAAAAAATAATAATTTAGAAAACTATCAAGGTCATTTGCTCGTGACTGATTTTCCAGGTTCTTTTTGCAATGAGAACATGAAGTGTCATAAGGTTAAGCAATAACAAAAGCAAAAGCCTTTTTTTTTTTCCGTTTTGCTTGATAAGACCCTTATTCATCATCTGAAATCGTTAAAAGCCCTTTCAACAGTTTGCAGTTTGCACTGAAACTGTCTTTTGAACCTTGAACCATTTGGTTCCCATTGAAGTCCATTATATGGAGAAAATCCTGGAATGTTTTCATCAAAAACTTTCATTTCTTTTCAACTGAAGAAAGAATGACATGGATATCTTGGATGACATGGAGGTGAGTAAATTATCAGCAAAAGTTTTTTTTAAAAAAAAGTGAACTACTCCTTTAAGCAGCATGTAACTATTTTCATCAATGACAATAATAAGAAATGCCTATATATATATATGAAGAGTTCAGATGCAAAAGCCTCTAAGTGCCATTTGAAATTTTCTTCTAAAATGATCATTTTTATCAAGCTCGTATATTTAAGTTCAGTAATTTCACTTAAATGGCAATGAAGATTACCTATTAATTGTCATTTAAGTGAAATTACTGAACTTAAATATACAAGCTTGATAAAAATGGTCATTTTAGAAGAAAATTTCAAATGGCATTTTGCATCTGAACTCTTCATATATATATATATATATACAGTTCTTAAAAGTTCTTCTCTTGTGTTCCAGGGGGAAAAGTAACAACATGAACAACATGAGGGTGAGTAAATGATGGCAGAATTTTAACTTTTGGGTGAACTATCCCTTAAATTTGAAAATGTATGTGCTCTTGTGTAAATGGGATTGGTGCATTAGCTGTGGCATACACTCATACTAACAAGTTCATACAGTATATAACCAAAATGATTGCTTATTGCAGCAGTTAAAAAAGCAAAACACAGTTTAAGATGCATAGACAGAATATGTAGATTTCTTGTAAAGGCCGTCACACCTCTTTTGTGTGATCTAAAAGGGATTTGAGAGTAATCCATGCAAAAAAACGCAAAGCTTGGGTTAGAGAAGGGGGTTGAAGAAGATTTTTTGCCGCTGGTGCCTCTGCTGCAGGGCACACAAGTTCACAAATAAGAAGGGCCATATGTTCAGGGTCATTGGTCTAAAGGGGCTGCAAAGGGCCAAATCAATATGACACGTCTGGTAACACGCGAGGTCATATAACACGGAGCCCTCCTGAAGACTGACTATGGATCTGTCGTCTCCGGAGAGCTCATCTCTCTTATTGACAATTACATGCGTCTCTGTGTGTAGACACCACTCACAGCACACGCGCACATGCTATCATCACTGGATGCCGATTCATGTTTTCTGGATTACATAAAAG